ATTTGTATTGCAAACAGGAAAGTGATATGTTCTTCCTGCTCCCCTCACTTCCAATTCTATATTGTAAATGTATATTTGCGCTTTTTATTCCCCGAACCAATTGCAAATTGTATAATTGATTAAAAAGGGTGTAATTGAGTTGGGCAGCAGTATGTAACAGGCAGTATGAGCCATATATATTCTTGATCACGTCTGTCTGCATTTTAGACTTTCTCCAATTTGAAACATAAGCTCTCATTTGCCATACGCAGATCAAGTTTATTTTCATTTTTTTTGGATCGACAACTCTTCCTACATTTATCCAATATCGACTTGCGATCACAATTTTTAAAATATATCCTATGAAACAAAAACTATAGCTTATGTTTGGAACAGGGTATCTGCCGACTAGAGAAATCTTACTTGTTAGAGACAAACATTTCGAAGAACAAAATATCAAATGCAAAACAATTGAGAGCAACAACAGAACATGCCTTTCAATTAATTGAAAAAAGAAATAAATGTATATATGTATGTATCGTGATATATGCATGTATGTGTGTATCGTGATGTATGTATATATATATATATGTTTGCATACCACAACAGGTCAAATATTTGACATACGTATTTGAACTGTTACGAATTAGTTGGCTCCATATTGGGATTATTGTGCACGATTGCAAAGATTTTACAGAAATTGTATAATAACTGCAGCTAATTATATATATATATATATACATATGTATATATACATTTAGTAGTAGATTGTATGCAGTTAATTAATAGAAAAATCGAAGCTATCCGTTTATTTCCGGCTAAATGCGGCAATTATATGATGAGCTCACATGTATGTAGATAGACATACATGGATTTGTTTATATATATATATGTATTTATATGAATGTATATAATTAGTACATTCGAAATATAGAACAACAATCTATATTGTTTCGCATGCACAAATGATGCACTTTTCAATTTCAAATCTATTTACAACTTCAAAAGTCTGGTAAATAAACATTTTGAGCAGTTTATCGCTTGTTTTTTTATTTTACTTAAAAACTATTTGTCTCTTGATTTTAATTGTGCTTTTGATCTATTAGTTAAGAGCTATAATATGACAAAATGGTCAATAACAGTTCACATAGCATCGATTTTAATTAAGATCGAATTATTTAAATGTTTTATAATTGTCTGCAGACAATTCTCTGATAAAACTTTTCGTTTGTGTTGCTGTTTTATATAAATATTAACCATAATTTACGTAAATTGTTATCTTGGCTCCAGCCACAGACAAGTTGATCAAATAGGAATTTTTCGATAAGAACTATTAACAAATAATGCGCAAATTGGATTCACCATATATTTTATTTTTAATCTGTAGCAAACTTTGTCCAAATATTTTAGTACTTACGTATATATATTTATATATATACATATAGTGTCAACATTAGCTTCGGGCTATCGATTTTGGGTGTAGGGTATCATATAGTCGAGCAACCTTTGACGTGCTTTAAGTAATCTTTGTGCAAATACCGCAAAAGTTTCCGGATTTTTGTAACTTATGAAAATCAGTTACTGATTTATATTTATATTGGATACTTATCGGTATCGGAATTCCTTATCGATGCTTAATGTCTCCATTATTATAGTTATGCATTTATGTGTTATTTATTAGGCACATTGTGCCTGATTGGGTTTCCACATTGTATACGATCTAATTGCCAATTGCCAATTTGCCTCGTAAATGATTTAAACGCGATTAAAAGTGCTGCAGGCGGCAATAACGGAAAGCAATCCGATTAGTGGGCTAAATAGTGAACACCGGTCTCGGTCATATAATCGACTGATTTGCGATATCGCAACACCTACTGGCCACCTACACCTACCCCTACACCTACACCTACAACTACACCTACACAATGATGACGTGAATGCGATTTCCCGAATAAATGATTCGATAATCGTGATAATGTTACTGTTTTGGTTTATTGTTGTTGATTTTGTTTGTTTGCTTTTGATTTTGCTTTCGCTTCGTTTTCCATATTTGTTGTTCTTGTCGCTCTCATGGTACGCCCATAAAATGCATATTATTTTATTGATACGATTATTACTCTCTTTTGGTTTTTTGGCTAGAAGCATGCACAGAGGGCAGGTTAAAGTGGACATCAATTAAGTTTTAAATTTTAAGTTGCGCACTAAAATGTCGAAGTATGCTCAAGATTTCCTGCCTGATAATAATACTTATCAAAATTGCCAGTTACTTGGCAATTATACATACATACATACATACATACAGTTAGTTCCTTTCCCGATTGCATTTTGTAACACGTCCACTGTTTCGCAGTGGGCAACCTCGGCTAGCTCAGTATTCCCAGAGGTGGGTAACTCCAACCCTGCCCGTAGATGGTACAGACTCGAAAAAAACTCGACCTACACAACACTACATAAAGACCTACATGCACACACAAAACAAAGGAAACAGCTGACGGGCCTGGTGTTTATGGCCACGACGTACCCGCCCTTCCTGCAATGGGCCTGCACGGATTCGATTTGCCCATCGCCCTTAAATTGTAGTTGACGACTAATTTATTCCATGCTCCCGGTGATTCTCCCCTTTATTTAACTTACTCACAGATCATCGTTATTTCCTTACAATTTATTAACAAACATTATATGGTATAATGTAGTAATTACTAAATACGCCGCTAGGTAGCGTTGTATTCTGCAACGGCTATTCAATTTTGAATTTAAATCGGGAATCTTGCCAAATCCGATAAAACTCTACCCTATTAGAGCTCCAATATAAGTATTCGGTGTATGGGAGCTCGTGCAAGAAAATGGATTCCGCAATTTGGCAAAAATCCGGACGCCGGATTTTATTGACGAACATGCTTAACTTAGAAATTTAAATTAATATTAGATGCGTGAATAGATAAATACATTAACATAAATAACGAATAGCTTAACATAACATTCAACAAATTTGCTTAACCTAACATTCAACATTTACATAAATATACTGGAGGATGGGTGGGTGTGCTGGAGCACTGCTCACATGCGCGCAGTCGACTTGCACTCGATTGAGTGTACTGCGCTCGAGCTACGCGGCCGGTTACTGAAGGCTTATCCCGATGGCACTTATTCCATATCGGAACGCACTCACCGGCTGAAGAAATACCGTCGGTGCGCTTGCGCGCTGCCAATATCAGGGGATGGTGTATTCGCCCCATATGACATAAATTGCACAATTGCGGCGTGACCTGCCGTCGGCCACCTAAACATAAGCCACAAAGCACAGCACAACATTTATTCAAACAGACACTCTTACGCCGAATTTGGCTTCACAAGGTCTATCGAATATGGAGGGTCAAGGCTCTCCTAAATGTACTTCAACATTCGATCCGTACGGCACACAAATTTAAGCGCTATGGACCACGACCTGCCTCACTGCGTTTTTTTCTTTTCCACATGTGTTCTTGTCCCTAACCCTCGGCGCGCCACCTTGCGGAGAATGTCCTCACATGCAACGCTGGTGTAGCTGACCCTGCCAACTTGCTCCCGCTTTTCAGCAATGTGGCCCTTTAAATCTCACTTTTGGTTGTGGCATACGATAATTGAGTATCGAATGTCTGCAAATGCAACAACCTCTGGGAATACTGAGCTAGCCGAGGTTGCCCACTGCGAAACACTGGACGTGTTACAAGTTGCAGTTTAAATATCAACATAATACCTATCGACAGTAGCCCTGTAAATAAATACATACATTGCCATATATATACGTGTGTAAGCAAATAACAAAGTAGTTTTTCGATTTGTATCGCGGTTGTCCGGTCTTTTTGTCAGATCAATCAGATATGAATTAATGAGACAATTTGGTGAATGGATGGACATATGTTTCAATTATCATATCGCACTTGAATCATCGTTTCATTAAGAATCGATTTATGAATCTGACAGCCCCAATTATAGTATTTATATATATGTATATATAAGATAATCGTGTGCAAGGTATGTCAATTGGAATTCATGTTTAAATTATTCAAATGGTATTTGGAGTGGAGGAATAACTGTGGAGGTATTTTATTTTGATCTTCCAAAGAGCAGACTCTCGCTCTCTCAGTCTGTCTCTTGAATGCAATGTTTAAGAAATAATAATACCGGATAAATTAAGGATTACTTAGCGAACAAAATGTGTGTGTTAACCACAGGCGGTTGCCAGTTGTCCATCCACATCCGAAAAGTGCCAGCTGCGAATGGCACAAGCCGATGCAAATTGTATGAATTGTGTATAAGTTCGTTCACTCATTCACTCACCCATGTAATCCTCGTTGTAATAATTGATCCAATTATCGCAAAATGAGGAATATAGTCATAGTCATATTGGTATTGATTTTTTTATACATAAATAATAGCAGAATAATTGCGACATTTGCAATCCAAGCCGAATTGGAGCGTGTAAAAAAAGCATATGGAACCGACTGTTCCTATTCCTAACGGAAAGTCTTCAATAATCTGCTGATATGCAAATCCCGATAATGACGATATTATTCTGTGTCATATTCTTTAATGTCATTCAGAGATGAAATCAGATACATATAAAGATAAGACACTCTTCATCAAGGCACACACTACATATATATATATATATATATATACACACACACACATCTATATATATATATATATATAGACATTTATCATCATAAAAGACAAAGTTAAATCTAATCGTCAGCCAGTTAACAGTTAATAGCGCCAAACGCAATGGACAATTGGCAAGCAGAACTAACCTACCCTAACTAAACAAAAACCTATGGAAACGAATAACAAGGCTCTAGCAGAGCAAGAGAGAGAGAGAGAGTGGGAGAGGCACAGAGATAGAGAGTACACGACAAGGAGATACTACCATTATAACTATACCAATTTGAAAGTACACACACACACACAAATAACCATTTTCTAATAGATAGAAATATATGTGGGGGGATAAATAGAAGATTATGATTAATATAACTTACATTGACCAAACTGACGCCGAAGCAGGCAACCCAACCCCAACCGCCATCGGGTGCGACTTTTCTCGGTGGTTTCGTTGTCATTGTTTTTAGTTAGTTGCTCGTTTGTTTTTGTTTATGTTGTTGTTCCTTTTGCTGCTCTTCGCTGTCTGTCTTTCAGTCTTTCTGCGTGTCTCGCTGTGTCTCTGGTGTCAGGTGTGCAGATGTCTCTATACCCTCTATATAGAGTGCATAAGCGTGCACATGTGTCTGTGCCTGTGTGTGTCTCTGTGTGTAAAGAATTATGGATATTTTGTGCTTCTTTCTATATGCATGTGTGTGTGTGTCGTCGTCGTTGTCGCCGCTGCGCCTTCTCCGTTGGCCACTTTTATTTTTGTGTGTTTTGTTTTGCTTTGTTGTTGTTTTGATTTTCGAGCGTTGCGTTGTTCTTTTGCTTCTATTTATTTATATTTTCTTGTGTCTTATTCAACCGTTTGGGTTTTTATGGAACGCGGTGGGTGTTGTTATTGTTGTTTGTTTGTTTGTTTTTGCTTTTAATTTTTACTTGTCACACACACACACGTAAACACACACACACAACAAGAGAACTGCGAAATAATTTCAAAAACTTGCGGCGCTTTGTAAATGTTTTTGTCAACGTTTTTAACACCGTTGTGGATTTTGCTGTTGTTTTTGTTGTTGTAGTGTGTATTTTGTACCTTAATACCAAGGTTTTTGTTTTTTTTTGCTTCTTTTCGATGTAGTTGCTAATTTATTTGTGTATTTATTTACTTGTTTGTTGCTGTATATTTGTGTGTTCTGTTCTGTGTTCTGTTTTGTTCAGTTATGTTAATGATGTGAAATCTGTAGAATTAATTCATTAGTATGTTGTTCGTTCGGTTTTCAGTTGTAGATTTAAGTTATTCATCCGCTGCTATATTGGGTTTTATATTTGAAGTTTTTTATGATTTACTTATTTTTTTTTTTATCAATTTGTTCGCATTTCGCTGGTTTCCGATTAGTTAGTTTGTTCTTGAGGAATTTCTTATCTCAGCGTGCAACGAAGTTTTTCCATGTGTTATTTAAAATTTGTATATATGGTTTTATTTTATATAATATATATAACGCTTTAAAGCTCGTTTCAAAATATTAAATTACAAGGCACGTTTTTGCGATAAAAAAAAAAACCAAACCAAAAAAAAAAAACCAAATTGCGAAAAATGTATTCAGCAACACCAAACCAAAAAAAAAAAAGATTGAAATGGAATATTTATTTTCACTTAGGCCTGTCGTTTTCAAGTTTCACCTTATTTTCCAGCTGTTCTAACTGACTGTTTTGGTTGTTGTTGTTTTGTTTTGTTTCTTTTTTTATGTTTTATCCCATTGGCTCTCTGGCGTGCGTTGCTGTTGCTGTTGGTGTGTGCCGCCTCCGTCGTTCTCAGCGGATTCTTGCCGTTTGCTAGCGTGGTCGCTTCGTGCAACGCTATTTATTAAAAACGGGGGTGTTGGGGTTTTGACCGGACTCTCCGCATCGGTTCGACGTGTTACGCGCGACTGTTCAATCGATACTGACTACTGCCCGTCGACGTCGACATTGCCAACAACTGACTGACTGCCTACCGCCTGCCCGAAGAGCGACAGAGAGAGAGAGAGAGCGAGTGAGCTATTGGGAGAGCAGCAGCAAAACGGACTCGATTGGAGAGAACACATATTGGGGATTACTGTTGTTGCTACTTCTGCGTCTTCTTCTGCTTCTGCTACTGCTATTGCTGCTGGTGCTGCTGCTGTTGCTGTTGCTGCGTCAGTGTATGTCAAGATCGCATTCTAATGCTAGAGAGAGCGCACGGCTGCTCCTCCGGTCACTTTATGTGCAGTGCAGTTAGCTGCCTTGCCTTGCCTTGTCTTGCCTTGTCTTGTCTGCCAGAAGCGTAACCCCAAGACAAAAACCAAAAAAAAAAAAAAAAAAAAATAATTAAAAAAAGAAAAAAACCAAAAACAAAGAAGACTATAAGCAACGTTGACTTTTTGCTGCCTGTGGCTAATTGCGCGTCTGCCAACATTGCTGCTGCTCCTCGTTTGTTTCTTTGTTTAGGCTCACACATACACACACACACACGCACGAACACACAAATATATATAGGAAATACGTGTGTACTTATACGGGCATTATTCTATATACACATACATATATTCTTTGTCTTGACCATGACTGGAGTAGTATTTGTGTGCTAGCTGCTTGTTGCAATGTGCACTGGTTGCTTGCTCTGCTTCTTGTATTTAATGCACACTGTTCACATTTATCCATTGACTCAGTTGCGCAAACGCGCTCCCTTTTCACCACGTCACTCTCTCTCTCTCTCTCTCAACAGACACATGCAATCAGTCATTCTCTCTCCTCCCCTCTCTCTCTCTCTTTCTCTCTCTTTCTCTCTTGGAACTTGTTGCTTTGCTTTGCAGATCTGTTGCATATGCGTGTGTGTGCGTGTCACAATGAGAGAGTTTTTGGTGTTGCCAGATGTAGAGTATTAACAGTTCTTAAGGATTTATTTAGAATGAATGAATATTAAAGCGTGTAGGTTTCTTTCTTTCATTTCTTTTACTTAATAAAGAACAAGTAAATAAAGTAAATAATTTTTTACCATGCAAAAAGTTGTTTTGTGTGACTGCTCGAATTTATCGGAAAATGAATGAAAACTGATTTGAGGCAGTGTTATATCATAATCATAATAATGGGTCGAGTTGGCATGGGAATTTAGAAAGAACACCCTTCGAACTTTATCGGGTTTGCTTTTCTTTATTACATTCGAAGGAACAACACATATAATCTGCCCATTCTTTAGTTTATTATTATAAATGATGCAAGTGTACATTTTTATTCAAGTTAATTGTCCATGCAGACTTCTTAATTGACAACACCATGCCAAGCTAAATTACAAACACAAATAAATAAAATAATAAAACAATAATAATATTAATAATACTAATCAAAAAAATACAACGATTCCGACATTGAGAGACGGATATGGAAATGAACATTGAAAAATTGAAAATCAAAATAAAAAAAAACGAAATGAAAATGAAAATGGCACATTGCTAAGTGTTGCCTCTTACGTACTACTACGATATACCTATATATATATATATATATATATATATATATATATATTTACATATATATGTGTGTGTGTAAATATGTATCCCACTACTGTCCCCACTGAATGCCCGGACACAGTCAAGCCTCGCTGGCGCCCAACACGTTCAGAGCAAAATACATACAAAACGAAAAACGAAAAACAAAAACAAAGCTCTCAATAAAGAATCGATAATCAGAACACTAAACGCAAAAACGCAAACAAGCCGAAAGCCTTTAGGGTTTCCATGTTGTCGGCAGATTGTTTGCCCCGTTTGCTTTCTAATGGGTTGCTCGCTTCAACTTGTTGCTGCCGATCCAGTGCCAATACGTTTGTTTGAATGTGTGTGTGTTTTTGTGTGTGCTGTGTGTGTGTGTGCGTGTGCGTGCATAAACAGCACACAAATCTGCAAGAGACACCTCTTGAATTTCAATTTTTAAGTACGATTTTCAGTCGAAACGAATGTAGAAACTCTTGTATTCCAAAACTATAGAAATGTAAAATCTACTGTAAATATTCCGGAATTTTGTTTTTTTGTGTACGGGTTACGTGTGATACCCTGATTCTTACTCTACAAATACGTAATATGGTATAAATTAAAATTCGACAAGAATATCAAATAGTTCGTTTGGCTGGCTTTTCAAGTGCACAATGAACTTGGAGGAGGAGTCAGCAAGAGTATGTTATTTAGGGCGTTACTTCTTGTTAAATCCTGAATCATTTTAAGTCGGATAAAAGGGTATAATAAAGTTGACCAAAAGTATGCAAATTTGGGATCAGAAACGACAGATGAGTCTATCTAGCCATGACCCCCGTTTATATGAACAAAAGGATCTCAGAGAGAGAGAGACAGAGAAGTTATCGCCGAGGATATACAGGATACGAGCGTCTACACCAGAATATTACAATGCATATAAACAAGTGTGTGTGTTTGTGTTATTATTAATTGAAGAAGATGATTCACTGCCAGCCTCGTTGTGGCTGTTGAAAGCGCTCAAAGTCTCAAAGTCCAAATGAATTAATTTTCTAGGGTATTGACTCAGCATTCAGTTTGTACTAACGCTTTGAGAATAGAATCAAGTTGGCACCGTAAAAACTCAGAGCTTGTGATATGTATTATTAACAACAAAAGTTGTACATTTCATTTACTTAATTTTATCCATTAGACGAAAGTGGTTGGTATTCGGTGAGTTATTTATATTATTCATATTGCTTTGTTTTCTATATACCCACATACATGTGTGTGTGTGCAAGTGTGTGTGTGTGTGTGTGTTGTTGATAGATGGATCTGTTGTAGCTGCTGTTGTTGTTGGTGGTGGTGCTTTTCCAGCGATTTGTGTGGTTGTCAAACGCTTGAACAGATTGCCCTCATGTATTGCAATGAACGGCAATGGGCGAAAAAGGAAATTAATTGTCTGACTGACAAATTCAGTGATTGGTAAACTGATGACGTAGTTTGAGTTCCGTTGACAGCAGCAGCAACAACAACAACAACGACAACGACAAATTCATTTAACATTGGTTTAAGGAGAAGGCGGCGTTTAACATTTCCGCACTCGTCGGTCCTACATAGAATGTATATATATGTATATATGTATATGTGTCTATATAGAGCATGTCTGGTTAACAATATTCATGTGTGAGCATTTTTGAAGGACAAGGGCAACAAAAGATTAAATCTGACGTAATAAATTCTATATGTACAGATATATATGTGTATGCGTAAGATACTTGCATAAATACAAATACATTAATCACGTCACGTCAACAGCTCTTCACCAAACTAGAGAGTGAGAGAGAGGGACAGAGAGAGAGAGAGAGTGAGTGAGAGAGAGAGAGGGAGAGAGAGACAGAGAGAGAGGGAGAGAGAGGGATGTGGACTACAGCAGGGTTTATCGGTTTGTTGTTTGACTTGATCTGCGTTGATAACCCTTTGGCATTACAAATGATCAGCTGATCAGAAAAGTATTAAAAGCGTATATTGCACTTTTTATATGAATGTATTTCGAAAGAAAAGCCGAAAGGGGTCAATAATAACATATGCACACACAGACAATCAATTCAATTTATTCGCGGTTTGTCGACATACATATGTATATATATATGTGCAGAGATACATACATATATACATACACACGTACAAACATACATTCACTTAAGCATCTTTTTTGCAATCTTAATTTCTCGTGATATTCACGTGACTCTCCCTCGCATCATCTGATCAGTTGTAGTCGCAATTATCGGGGGCATCTCTCAATGATTTTGATTTCATTCAGCAGAGATAACGCTTTAGTCGAGTGGGTTCCACTACGAGATGCGCTGAAGCCCAGTTGTTTAATATATAAACAATATTTTGGATAAATTCAAACTGAAATTTAGAAAATCCTATTCAGAAAGCCACAATTATAAATTATACAAAATTACTTTTTAAATTACGGCGATTTAATAAAATTTAGAGCGATTTTTTCTCAGTGTATGATAGTTTACTGCCAGGCTCGGTGGGGCAGTTGAAACAGCTCAAGTCTCTCATAGACTACATTAGTTTTTTACCACAGATTTCTAGGGAATTGACTCAGCGTTCAGCTTGTACTAATACCTTGGGAATACTTTGTAGTTTCGATATACTCTATTCCTAAAGTTTTAGTACTAATGAATCGTGCACATATCAATTACTCAACATGCACATAAATCATTAATGTAATTCATTTTCATTTTGGTTGGCTGCCCGTATTTTGTAGGGTATTCCCTCGGCGTGCAGTTTGTCATAACAGCCAGAGACTTTGGATGTTTTGCGTATTTCCAGACACACTGGTTATCAAAACTAAAGAAACGCACCAACATCAGTTTCATTTCTACTTTCCCATTCGTGGTCGAAAAAATGAGGGCTAATAAGTACATTGGTAGCACTTGTGCTTTCATTTGGCGACTCTTTTCCATTTTCCTTAAGAGAACAATGCTGAGGCTAAGTAAAACATTCAGTTCCAGAACCTGATGGTTCGTGCAATGGCTTAAAGTATGCACAGAATTATTTTATGCATGCGCTCCAAAGTATGCAGCAGAAAACATGCAGGAAATATCACCATAAATTAGGATTGTCGTCAATGTTTGAAAATGTGTGGCAACAAAATAGCGAATTCTATAATTAAAACATAATTTATTTTTGGTGTTATATTCTAAATATGAATATAAATGGTGTTCAGTGTGTGTGTCTCCCTTGAAACGTGACGTGTTCTAGTTTAAACATTGTTTGCGGCAACGTCACAAGGCCTCGGTGGCGCAGTAGGCAGCGCGTAAGTCTCATAATCTTAAGGTCGTGAGTTCGAGCCTCACCCGGGGCAGGTAACTTTTTTGCAATCGAATCGCTCTGATTCCTAATGTGTTACACATATTTATAGGGAATTAGTGCTTTTGACAATTTGTCTTGCACTGTTTTTTTTTTTTTTGTCTATTTGATCGAGACATTATCAGCTTATCGCAAATAAAAAATCGTTGACTCAAGTTGCTATTCGCCCCCATTGGACTTTGTGCTGCCTTCAGACCCACAATTAAATCGTACGTTCTGTAGATATCAGTAGACTGTGTTTCCCTGTGACGCTTTACCAGCTGTTTCACATAAAGAACATACATTTTTCGATTCGAATAGCGAAATAGGAGCTGTTTCTCAAGTATTTGTCAACTGAAGTACCCAACGGACTCACTTCTTATGAAACGAAATATCTTAAGTGCATATATACATAAATATATATATATATATGTGTTTATTCTTTCTGGATAACAATTACTATAATCATTTAAGCCAACTATTTATTTATATTAATACTTGCTTACTTAATAATACTTTACCATATTTACTGCTGACAAACTAATTATGAACACTTTATTTGCAGTAACATTAACAAGCCAACCAAGAATAATCTGTACCTGAAATTAGTTGTTCGAGTTTTAGTTTTATACATTTTAGACAGCCACCAAAACTGTCCAAATGGAAAACAATAATCAGTTGACTAATGAACGTTCAAATGTGGTAAGCCTTACATATCCATCCCATTTATTAGCTATATTTTAATGTATATTTTCGGTAGCTTATAAGTATGTATGGGATTAGTATTAACAATGCGGATATCATGACTTTGACCAAGAACTCCTGGCTGAATGATAATGTGATTAACTTATATTTAAATCTGATAGTTGCTCGCTCACAGAAGACATCGCTACCAAGGGTTTATGCAATGAATACGTTCTTTGTGCCAAGCCTGCTGAAGGGATACAAAAATGTGAGTCGCTGGACTCGTCACGTTGATATATTCAAGGAAGATATGATTTTGGTGCCGGTGCACGTAGACAATGTCCATTGGTGTATGGCCATCATAGATATGAGCAAAAATATGATTAGCTATTATGATTCATTTAACATCCCGAATCCGACTGTGTTGAACGCCCTCAGAAACTTTTTGATAAAAGAGTCGCTCGCACGCAAACTTGAAACTCCGTTAACTCTCAAAGATTTCCAGGTTCAACATGCCACAAATGTGCCACGACAGACAAATACCAGCGACTGCGGCGTCTTCAGTTGCATGTTCGCTGAATACATAACCCGCAACAAATCGCTTACATTTTCGCAAAAGGACATGCCGCGCTTCCGGAAGCAGATGAAGCGAGAAATTACTAACGGCAGGCTCGACCAGTAGAGAACGAATATAAATTAAAAATGAATATATCAAACACTATCAAATAACTTATGTAAGCGCTCGAAGTTCTATCTATCCGGAGTTATGTTTTAAACATACATATAAATAACAAAATAAATTAATTAAAATGACTGCCATTTAGTGCGTACTCCCTTAGATTCAGTTTATGCCAGGATGTCAAACCGCTTTACCGACAAAAATTTAAAGGCGGATCCGAAACCACAATTGAAGTGCAACATTATTAAAGAATCAGTGACAGCAATTGATATTAGTATTATTATTCCATAATAACCTTATCGGATATCGAAAATTGACAACGAATTCATAACCCGATTGAGTTTAACAACCTTGTGTGTACTTAATCGATCGTACGCACGCCTACAAATATACTCCATTTGGTTAAAATTCGTTACAGTTATGTTTTATCGAACGTTTCAAATTTATGTTATGTTATGTTTTATCGCATGTTTTGAATTTATGTTATGTTATGTTTTATCGCATGTTTCGAATTTATGTTATGTTTTATGTTATGTTTCGAATTTTTTCGAATTTCAAATAAAAAATAAAAAACAAAAAACAAAACACATTGGAGCTAATAATCTAGTGCTGAATTCATATGCTCAAGCCCAACCAATTTAATATATAAATATACATATGTATGTATATATATGCCTGTATAAACTATTCGAAATGAAATAAAATTTGCTTGGCATTCGGAACATCGCAAAAATGTATTTACAGATAGAAAGAAAGAGAAGCTGGTGTTGTTTTTTCATTTACGTTTGTCATTTGATGATTATTGTTGGTCAAGTGTGGCTCACTCATGTTGGGGGCAGGTCTCGAGTATAATATGTATACTTTGCCACATTGCGGACCTTTTGCTCTGGCGAATATATTGGCACAAATTTATTAGGCCAAGATATGAATACAAAACAAAACAAAAAACAATAACAAAAATGATTAGGAGACACACCCACTTTGGTCTTTGCACCACGGCCCAATGCCAAAACAGCAATTAAGATGTCGGCTTATCAATACCAATTTTATGTACGGCTCGTTCAAAGGTCCCAAGACAAATTGGCATGTTTTCCATTATTCACTAAAGTCGCCGCCAAATTGCCAGCTTACCAAGACCGTACCGAATATGTTGTGAGTGCTGCACTCAAGATAGAGTTCGACTCGCAGATACCCTGCATCTTCATCTTTACAGGGTATGAAAATGTTTAGTTTCACTTTAAGCGGATGAGCGATCGATTAGAAAGGTGAAATAATTTACATGCATATGAATATAACACTCTTCGATATCAAAGTTCAAACTATAAACTAGATACTAAAGTTGCCACAATGACAGCCGCACATACATACATACATATACATGTATGTATACATATATATGCAAATATGTACCTACCTGTGAACATATGTATATGTATATGTATGTACACAAGTATGTATGACTTGCCAACGAATGGTCTAACGATCTGAGATAAGTTTGTAGTTAAATATGTGCGACATTCAATTTGCTTAACAGCACGACCCTTGCCAGTGGAAACAACAAGCCGGCAGCAAGGAATATTAAGCTATTTGCCAGACAGACACTAACAGCAACGCAGCAACAGTGGAACGAAAACAATTTGGACAATTTGTTAGCGAATGAAAACAATTAGATATTATATTATTAATATAACAATCACATCAAATTTACATCATAGCTCAGATTTGAATTCATTATTATTATTATTTTCCTTGCTGCTCAGTTTTGTGAATTAATTATATTTTTGAATGGCCTTTTCGGTCGTTGACTTTGCTCCCTTGACACAATTAACGGCAACATCAACAAGACTTGAACTAGTGGACACTGTGGGTCATAATCAAATCAAATTGTAATCGCTCTTCCTACCGTAATTTCTTTCCGAGTATGTATTTATGTATGTATAACCTATATATATATATATGTGTGTGTGTGTTTGAGCTGATAATCGCGCCCTTCCCGATGGCAGCAAATACCAATACGAACAGTAAATAAAGACAGCAAAAGCGCAAAAATTCTTATCAGAACGAACAAAAAAAAATATATGTACAAATTTCTTCTTCTATTTTGTTTCTATTCCATACCCTTGCAAGAGGCTCATTTCATTTTGCCACCAGGTGTGTGACGACATATTTGTATTTAAACAAACGCATATTGTGCATGTTGGACAAGCATCTACAGATGTATGGCAGTGTTATTTGCACAAATAAATACTCGGCGACATGAATATTTCGAGCCATTTTCTTGATCCATCAGCTGCATCAACAGATAATCATTTTGTGTATTGAATTGAATTTTTGCAACTGCAATTGCTTCTATTTTGACAGGGTATTCAATCTTCGACTTTCCGATAATACATTTTCTATTTTTTGAAATTACTCGAGTCCAATAAGTGAGTACATAGCAAATAGCAAATAGCAAAAAAATGAAAATGAACAACACGCGACAGTGGCTAAAACATAAGCAGACACAAAAAAAAAGAAAAGAAGTCGAACAGAAGAAGAAGAAGAAGACGAGGCGATAGTCCAAAATAACACGCATACACTTGCAAAGCGGACCAAGCGAAAGTAAATGCTGTGTGTTGAATACTCGCCGCTGCTGCTGCGGCTGCTGCTGCTGCTGCTGCTGACTCTGCTGCTGTTGCTGCGGCTGCGGCTGTTGCTGCTCCACATGTGAAATGAAACAGAGAAACAAGCAAGCAGAGAGGCGACGAGCGGTATCTATGTATAGACGAGAGGCGCGCGCGTGTGTTGCTTGTGTCTGTGTGTCTGTGTGTGTATATGTGTGTGTGTGTGTGTGTGTGTGTGCGTGCGTGCATTTGTGTTTGTGATTGTGGTGTTCAATACTATAATTTACAAATTTTTGTGTTCAGTTCAGTTCGCGCTGGAGAACGTTACGGAAAAGTCGTCGTCTGTTGTTATTTTTTTATTTACTATTTATTTTTTTGCAATACAAGACGGAGCAACAACCACATAAATTAAAAGTATATATAAACATATACATATATATACACACACATATATATGTGTGCGTGTGTGTAAATAGTGATTTTTTTGTTGTATTTACTCAAAAGTTTAGCATTGATTGAAATGATGTTGGCTAAGAAAACCATTAGACGCCCCAAAAAAAAATAAATAAATAAATAATAAAAATAGTAAAAATAATAAGCACGTGCGCAGCTGACTCAATTTGTGATTATATAGTATCCCACATAAATTATAGCTATCTGTTATCTATCATATTTTCGTGATTCATTACAATTATTATGGGTATTATCGGTGCACATCGGTTGTAGGAGTAGTAGTAGGAGGAGGAGGAGGAGTCAAAAGTCGTTCGTCCCTTTGACCAGTTATCAGCTATCGGAGAGCCGGGCACTCAATCAATCAAACTCGTCAAGAGCTCTAAATTGGCTCATTGCGTCGGCGCACGCGGCTTAACACCTTCTTGGCCCGCCAATGATTCCCCGTTTGACTTTACACAGTGGCCAACAAAAGGCAAACAACCTGGCAACTACTGGCCGACTTGCCGACTTGCTGACTTGGTGACTGCCTGAGTGGCTGCCAGGTTTCTTTTATTAGCATAATTCAACAGTATCTTTGTGGTTTTATTGAGTGTGTGATAATGTGATGAGATGCGATGCGATGCCATAAAGTAAAGTTCACAGCGTTGGGCTTTATTTGCACAAATGTTTGCTCTTGGCTTAGCCTGGCTCACAATTCGATTGCCTACTGTGCTGTGCTGTGCCAGTGGGTTCGTAAACATGTATCTCTTCTATATGGCATATGTAAATGCATATTTCAAATATTTCAAATTTCTATCGCCATTTTATAATCACAAAATACGAGAATATTTCATTTTCGTGGCAATCGGTGCTGATTATGATTGTCAGATTAAGCGAGAATAGAACTGTATATGTACATAGAATCTGTGTACCGTTTCGTCATATATACACACCCATATATATATATATATATACAAATAAAAATATAAATATAAATATAAATATGTTTTTGCCTTGAGGCTAGTGGTGCCTGCCACAACAACAGCGGCGATTGTCATCCACGTGCTTCTTGATTGATTACTCTGGCAAGAAATCGCGATTCTCGTTTCCCGTTCCAGTTCACAATTTACCGAACAAAGATCCCTTATCGCCTTTGAACTACCAGCAACTGACCTATTTGCCGTTAGAGTTAGTTGCAAAAGTCATGGCAAAGTAAATCTATTTTCCCGTGGTCAGATATTGCCATACACAGTGTTGAGTGTAAATAAATATCACAATTCTCCGAGGTGCTACTAGGTGTGCTCTAGGTATGCGTAGATCTAGAACTTGACCAGCTACAAATTATCGAAGAACTTTTCGAAATTATGAATAATAAATAACGTTAGATCAAGTTTCTTTATGACTGAGATAAAAAAAAACAAAACCAATTCGTAATCACACCTCTCACAATGGTTTTATATATATATTCTTGATCAGCAGTCTTTCTGTTTCTCTTAATATCGATGATCTTGATGAATCTTGACATTTATCTATCTTTATGTTGCACAACATATGCCTCAATCGTACCACACCATAAAATTGGTGTTATATGAACTGGACTCGGGTGTACAAGGACTTGGAATTGGATTGGTCATAAGATAAGATAGCGGTACTTTCTTGTTTCAATGTAATTCCTTTCAAGTGAATATATATTTATCAAATTGTTATGATACTGCTGCTATCGAAGCGCAATTTAAAGTTTATGCCAGCCGCCAGCCAAATAATAATTACAACAGCAGCAACTTAACCCTGGCAACAAGCGTCCATTCAGTTTAATTACTATTTTTATGATTATATGAACTGGTCAGAGCTGATCAAAGCTCGGCTCTCTCTCTCTCTCTCTCTCTCTCTCGCTCTCTCTCTCTCGCTCTCTCGCTCTCTCGCTCTCTCTCTCTCTCGCTGGTCGGGCATCCGACTCGAATAGCTCGACTCGCTCGTTCTGCTTCGCTTATCAGCTGGACGACCATGTGCACCCTTCAGTTCAGTTCAGTTCAGTTCAGTTCAGCTGTCGCTTTATAGCAGTCCACCGCACAGCTGTATATCGGACCAATAAACAATAAACCCTGGCCCAGTTCAGTTCCACTCCCATAATCCGTATTCCATATTCCATATTCAATATTCCGTATTCCCATAAGAAAGTGGTGCGATTGAAGTTAACGATATATATATACATATATACATGTGAATTTGTTGATAATACTGCTCGATATGAACGCGGGTAAAATTTGACCGTTAACAAGCCGATAAAGATGTGGCTGAGGTGCAGGTGGAGGTGGAGGTGGAGGTGGAGGTGGAGGTGGAGGAGCCAAAGAGGTGTGGGCAATTTGAAAGTGGGAACTGTTTCTGGCTTATCAACGCGAGCCAATTTCAAATGTTCGATTTTGTCGCTGCTTGTTGTTTTTGTTGTTGCTTGGTTTTCTTATACGAAAAGCGGAAGATAGCTTTGACTCGATATCGCCGTGAATGGCATTTATGAGTGTATATGTGTGCATATATATGGGGGCTTATATTGCGGGGGCCTCAAAGTCGAATCACTATAGTCGATAAAAAAAAATAAAAGAATTCGGGGGATAAACTTGCCTTTTTGGTGATAACAACAAGAACGACGGCAATTAAAGACTTCTTTTTCTTCCTCTTCCTCTTCATCTTTTTTTTTTTTTTTTTTTTTTTTTTGGATATTTGTATATAATGAGTGTTACTTTTGCTGCCGTCACGTTCTCAGATTAAAACCAAAACCAAAAAAAAAAAGGGAGCAGGCCACATAGCATTTGTGTTCAGTTCGATCAGAGGCCACGTTGAGTTCGGTTTGTTTGCTCCGAGCACTGTAATTATTATTGTCGATTGATAAAAAAAAAAAAAACGACCAAAAGCAGTGTGCCAAGTGCTACAATTTATAAACTATAATTGACTATTTGAAGCAGATAAAATAATAACACGAAATGCTATTAAGTAACGCAATTGGTTGACTAAACTGAGTTGAATAAACAACAGTTTGAATAAACTCCGTTCCCAACTCCTGTTAGTTCTATTAATAATCATAATCATAATCATAATCAGAATAATAATAATAATGTCATTATTCGAATGCTATTTGTGGAGATACAATGGGGATGGCATTTAATCTTATCAGTGCAGATTTTTTGTGTGAACTAACAAAAGCCAATGAAGCTTTTAATTAATAATGTGTCGATTTATTTTTATAAGCTTATCTTGGCTTGTTGAAGTGTTTCTACTTTTTGCACTAACATAATCCCCAAACGTAGCCTATTATTTGCAGTTCGCCAGTGAGATATGGATAGAATTATATCAATTATTATTCTATTAACATTCGTGCAGGAACTAGGGCTGATGGAACAGCTATAGGCTCAGAAGGGGGCGCAATAGATCGAGTAGGTCCAGCCCCGCCCCTCCCATCCCATAATAATAATAATTAGCATACATATTGCAATAGGAAAAAGTATGCCCCATTGCCAAAACTCTCCTCTCTCTCTCTCTCTTCTTGATCATTTCAATTTTATATTTAATACTTTGAATATGGGCGATCTGTCTGCCTGTCTGTCTAAACGAGACAGTCACAATGACTGGCACATTAGATTGTTATGTGTTTACTGTGTTTACTGTGTTTGACAGTCAGTTCGACCTTTTGACCATCAAATATGGCGACTTACTAAATTTGCTGTAGACTTGGCTTTGCTTTGCGTTCAATGTGCTCCGCCTATGTTATCAATCTTTAACCTGTTGCAGACTCTAGGCACCAGTCAAGATCAGTGACCACCCAGTGATGCAACAATATTAAAACCTTGCCATTAACGATGACTGATTACAAAACTGGCAGCAGCAGCAGCCCGGCCAGCTATTACAACAACAACATCAACATCAGCAGCAACAATAACAGCGGCATACTAAAAACGCCCAAGGAGCCAACAGAGACCCAGCAACAACAATCAAAGTATGACGAACAGCCACCCAAGCAGACAACAACAACAACAACAACAACAACAGCAGAACGAGGCGGAGGTGGAGGAGATGCCATAAAAAAGAAGCGACGGGATAAGAGCGACTTGGGCGATGATTTTGTGGCGCCCGATGGCGGCTGGGGTTGGTTGGTGGCCATCGCCAGCGGCGTCAATATTGTATGTATACAGATCAAAGATCACAGATCAGAACTCAGTTCTCAGATGAGATGATTGGCAGCACGATACCAGCCATCCATTTATCACATTGTACTGATTATGTGTATTTATTTGCTTTGCAGCTTGTCACTTTCGCATTGGCCCAACAGTTTGGCATCATCTTTCGCAGCCACTTCACAAATTTGGGACTCAGCAGCTCCGAGCTGACCACCATTATCAACACACAGATCGCTGTCTCTGCCTTCACAGGTGAGTTTTCAAATCGCAACGAATCCGCCCATCAACATCAACAAAACCAACTTCAATAGTAAAGAGAAATGAATGTGGCTAGATATGTTAAAGTAACCCGATCTTGATAATTGAATTAACCAGTGAGTTGGGTAATTTGGTTAAGAATAAGAACTCATCGTTCCTATGGCAGCCATATATACATATATATATATATCTATAAAGTGGACGTGGCTATAGTGATTCTGAACCCTTCAAAACTAAGAATTAACCAGCAACTAAAAGCAACTCAAGATTAAATTTATATTTTCTGATTCTAAACACTTTTGAAAATGCCTTTTGATATTTTTCCAAGAAATGATCGATAAATATAAATGAAACTAGAATTATTTATCAAATTGAATTGAAGCCAACTCCAGTTGATAAATAAGACGAAATGCATATAAATAGATGTCCTTAATGAATCTCAAATATTACTATGAAATTGTTAATTTGAATAGATTTCAATGCCAGATTGTAAACATATATATAAAGTTACTTTCTGAAATTAATAATACTTTGTTTATAATATTAATTGCCAAGTCCTGGTTTTTTTTGTTGTTGTCCACTTGTGTCAGGTCTGCTCAATGGTCCCCTGTTCCGTCGGTACACGTATCGAGTGGTGGCACTGGTTGGCTCTGTGCTGACCTTTGTGGGTCTGTTCTGGATGGCGTTTGCTGACACCTTCACCACATACCTGTTGAGCTTCTCGATTTTCTATGGGTTTGGACGTGGACTGACGGTGTCTGCCTCCTCGCTGGCTGTCAACACATATTTCAAGGTGAAGCGACGCACGGCAACCGCATATCAGTTTGGTGTTGCCGGTCTGGGGCCGATAGTGTGCCCCTATTTTGCCACCTACATGCTGAAAGAGTTTGGCGTCCAGGGCACAACGATGCTGTTCGCTGGCGCCTCGCTGCACACGATCGCCTGCTCGCTGATCTATCAGCCGGTCAAGTGGCATGTGGTGAAGCGGGACAGGGATGCGGAGGCGTTGCAGCCACCAAAGACACAGGCGCTCTTGGAGGAAGAGGACGATGATATCATCAAGCATGTCGTTGAGCCAGAGACACCGGTGTTGCCACGTGCCAACGATGGCTGGTTTGGATCGCGTGCCTCGCTCAACAGCGCCGGCACACGTAATCGATTCAACACTTGGGACAAACAGCAGGCAGCTGAACATGGCCCACATGCCCACATGGAGCTGAGGCGTCTCAGTAGTCGCGACTCTGGCGGCCGGAAGCAGCGCAGCATCTCTGTCAGCCACAGCATCAAGGAGGAGTCACATTCCCTGGCGAACGACGACATGTCTGATTATGAATATGAGAAGCAGCCGGCCGACAAACCGGAACAGCAGCCATTAAACACATATCCACTGCTGACGGCGAAGGCCCAACAACAGTTGGAGGATGAGCGGGAGATGAGCCGACGCAAGAAGTTGTCATTTTTCCAGAAGATTGTCATCTTCTTCGATCTGGATCTGTTGCGGGACATTACCTACGTGAATCTGGCCGTTGGCATCACACTGATTAACTTTGTGGAAATCAATTTTGCCATTCTGACACCGTTCATACTCAGTGATTTGGGCTTCAAACCCAATGAGATTGCATTTGCGATGTCGCTGCTGGGATTCTTTGATTTGGTTATACGCTTCCTGATACCGCTGATCACCGCCAAGTTCAATTGCAGCAATCGCACCTTCTTTGTGATTGGCATACTTGGCATGTGCTTTGGCCGCGTCCTGCTCTCGATGACCACCAACTTCACTGTGATGGCGGCCATCTTTCTCTGGCTGGGCTTGAATAAGGCCTTCCGCACCGTCTTCTGGTCCTTGATCATACCCAGCCATGTGCCACTGAAACGTTTACCCGCCGCCGCCGGACTTCAGCTGCTGATGTCTGGTACATTTTCGATGGCATTCGGGCCCGTAATCGGTGAGTGATTGACAATGATTTGCTTTCATCTCTGTTCGTTCTATTTTTCCCCTTTATTTATTTGCATGTTTTATTGTTTTCTTATTTACTAACAATATCAATATTTTAACATACACACACACACACACACGCACATCCCTCCCCAACCAGGTCTGATACGGGATGGAACCAGCTATGCCTTCACCCTCAACTGCTTAAATGCGCTCTGCGTAATGGCGATTGCCCTTTGGTATCTGGAGGATTGCATCCGTGCCAGACGCCGCAAATCAGGAAGTCCGCCAACCAACACGTAACCCCTCCAACCCATCCACATAGCGTCGTTTAGTGTTTTTTTTTTTTTTTTGATTTGAGTTCATATTATTATTATTATGAATCATATATGTGTGTGTGTTCTTTTTTTATCGTTGTATTTTCTTGTATAATGTAATGTTTGTACATTTTTGTATATAATTGAATTGATATGTAGCAAATTATGTTTAATAATTATAATAACTGTTAACAATATGCGTAAGCTATCCAATTTTGAAAAACCGATTTTATTTTATTGTGTTGCATTGAATTGAATTGAATTGAATTGAATTGTATGGTTGAAGTTTAAACTTCGATACTGCCGCGTGCGCCAATCAATTTACAATTGATTTATTCACTCACAATTGATGCTGATACCCTACCATACCTAGTCCGCCAGAGTATTGCGGCAACTTAGAACACCTTGTAACACTACTGATGGACTGCCAAAAACTCGGCATTTCACATATCAATTATATGGGCAAAACGAATATCTTGAAACTAATATTGTGGACTAGTTTTGAATGTATATTTTTGATTGAGAATGCCTGTTTTAAGCCTGTTCAAGCATCGATTACAAATGTCTTGAAAATAGTATCTTTGAGAGGTTGCTCTTGCCATTCACTGTCCCAAAGTTATGAAACCATTTCTAAATAGTATTTCGAAAAAATATTGAACATTATCCTCATCCTAAATGTGGGATTGAAATGGTTTATAAATTGGTAAATTGGTAAATTTAGATACATTTTTATTTATTGATTTAATGTGGACTTAAAACTGTGGACTGTTTTTAAAAAATACAAATTTTGAAATCAATATCAGACATTATAAATTGTAATCCAAATCTGTTCGAAGCAATTTTTACATAAGCAAGCGTATCTAGTCTTCGGCTTGAACTTCATTCTCATTCAATCTTTTTATATTTGTAGTAACACACTTAAAAAAGGGGAAAAACGATGGGACCACGCCCCAAAAAATCGGACAAGCCTATATCTACATATATCTTTCACAAGCTAAAAACAAAAGTTTCGAAATTGATGGATTGATTCCAAGTAAACCTCCTTCGCCCAACCAGTTCGAGTAGCATTTCCAGCTGAGAGAGTATTTCCTAGTCGGCTACGCCCGATTTGTATTTGTTTTCTTTATGGTTGCCAGATATGGCGAGCCATGCCGGCGGCTCATCATCAAGCGATGTGTCATGCAATTGGCGGTAATTGAATAGCGTGGCAGCCAATGCCGCAAGAAACTAACAATGTTGCGAAATAGGCATTTTGCGTGTGTGTGTGCGTGTGTGTGTGTGTGTGTGTGTGTGTGTTTGTGTGTGTGTGTGCGTGTGCGTGTGTGTGTGTGTGTGTGTGTGTGCGTGTGCGCGTGTGTGTGTGTGTGTGTGTGTGTGTGTGTGTGTGTGTGTGTGTGTGTGTGTGTGTGTGTGTGTGTGTGTGTGTGTGTGTGTGTGTGTGTGGAACCGTGCAACCGTCCTTTGACTGCTTGAATTGTGACTGATTAATGAAGAGCTTTAGCCGAGCTGACCAGCTGGCTTGCCGATCTTCATGTTGGCCCCTATATAAACCGGTTTGCCAGTTGTCTGTTGCCAAGTGCGGCCACAGTGTAAGCCGACTGAACTCGGCCAATAAACTAGGCGCTAAATGTGCATCCTTATGCGTGGCAGCGACGGCCTCAACGTGGCAGTTAAATTAAGAATTTGCATAAATGTATTTGCGAACGCAAATGCAAAATGCAAACTGAGGATCCACAATTAGTGTGAAACTAAAACTAGACCAAGTGGACATCAGTGGCCAAGCAGACCAGGCCATTTCAGGTCGTATTCAGGTGATCAAAATCAAAATTGTCGCCTTTGCTCAGAAACCGGCCCCTTTTATTATTTGACAACATATTTAACTTCTGCAAATGGGTGTTTATCAGCTTTTATCGCCAAGTCACGAATGAATCAGACAGTTGATGATTATGCGAATTTGCAGTATAAATAAAGCCGTTAACTCGAAAAATGACTGAGCCCAAAAATCATAAAAATATCTTCAGCAATGAGTCAAGTGCACAGTCCAAAATAGAAAACATAGAATAGAAATGGACTTTCAAAGATAACGCAGATTGACGCAATGATTAAATGGACACGGAAAAATAAATTTAAACATTCGAAAGTGATTTATACATATATATTTATTTATTTAATTTCTTATGTATTAATTAACAATCAAAGGGAGTCCAGGGTTCAGTTCTATTTTGTGTAAATAGTTACATTTTACTCGTGGCAATTGCTGATAATCCTTCAAATTCGAAATGCGATTCCAACAACAACAATTTAACATGGTTTGATATTGATATATATATATATATATATATCGTGCATCGAAACACGGAAAAACAGTCAAAACTACATTCTACAGTTGTATACTATACTATATATATACTAATTATTATAGTATATACCACTACATTCAATGTTTACTAATTAAGTAGAAACAATATACATTAATGACCAATAATGAATGCAAAATAAAAAAGCAAATGTAAAAAATAATTACATCATACAAATACATACATATATGGAAGTACATATGGACATTAGTTATTTAGACATTAGCAAATTTGGGCAAACAACACGCATGCAAACAGACACAGATACAAATACAGATCCAACTACAGATACAAATACAGATACAGCTAAACAAATTCCAGACTTGATTAAACGAGAGCTGTTCAAAAACTAACTCATTAAATAATGTACTGCAAATTTTGTCTCGAATTTAGAGGGACAAAATGAAAATTATAAATGTTATATAAGATCCAGCCTCGGATCTGCAAACAGATCGATTTATTGTTAATTGGCTTTGGGCAGTGCAGTGGGCAAAGTCGAAAAGGTTTGCGTTCTGTTGCGTATTCCACTTATTGCTAGCTAATGTTGAGTTCTCATTGTGAAATTGAATATATGAATGTTCCTTGTCATCCACGTTTGCACGTACACACACACACACACACAGACAGTATTTATGTTAGTTTTGCGATAATTGCACAGTATTTCCTATTATATATATATACATGTATTTACTATATAATTATCTTGCTTGTTTTGTTCGGTGTTCTCCAAAACTAATGTTATATTTGCTCTGAGACATCCCAAATCACCTGTTCACAAGCTCTGACGATTGAAAGAGAACAGAGCGAAAAGATAGAAGAGCGAGAAAGAGTGAAAGAGAGAAGAGAGAAGCCGCGATTGAGAATCAGTGAAAACTGAAAAGCGAATGAGTTTAATCGACCAGTCAAGCCATGCTCAGAGCTAATCGATAATAAATTAAATTGGCGCGCGAGAAGTTAAATGTTTTTAATAAGTTTTAGAGTACTCGTTATATATATGTATATATATACATATGAATGTGCATGCAAGTGTATTGTAAGATTAGGCTTTCAGTTGCGTCACTTGCTCACTAGTAGCTTGAATAATTATATTATCTATATAAGTACATATACAATATTGAATATGTATATACATACTTATATATATATATATATTTCATATCGATAAAATTACTGTATCGTTAATTATCCATCAATCTCTCGGTGTATCTACCTGATTTTTATCTGGTTTTGTTTTTCGGTTTTCATTTTTTGTGTGTGGTCGGGTTCAAAGTTTTTAATGCGAAAGATTTCGACAGCTGGTCAGCATTAGAATCAAAGTGCCGCAACCGCTGCTACCCTGCTGGCTGTGTGCGTTACAGTGTCAGTCGAACCGATCGTCGCATTAAAACATTGATAATGCCAACGTTAGAATGAATGTTTAATTGTTGCTGCTGCTGCTAATGCCTTTACCCATGTGCGAATCACAAAACACGAAGACAGCGAGAGAGAGAGAGGGAGTGACAGATTGAGAGAGAGAGAGAGAGGGAGTGACAGATTGAGAGAGAGAGAGAGAGAGCGGAAGGAAGATTGAGAGAGAAAAGTGGTCAAGTGCATGGTCTTTGCAGACTACTAATCCCGGTTTGTCTACTGCAGCCCACGCATTCGGTTAACAGTTAACGCTTTGCCTCCGCACCAATTGCTTTACTCTCTTTGCTCTTATGATTCGAGTGCTCAATTTGAGTATGTGTGTGTGTGTGGTGATAGCTAATAAACTTGTTTCAGCCAACGCTATGAATACCCTCTAATCAGTGCACATCATGCGATTCCAAATTATTGGTCATGCTTAAGAAATAAATCTAAATTCAATATATTTTATTTTAGAGTTTTCAAAATGACGTTCTTCAAATCGATATGAAAAATGGCATATTTTATACATTTTTAATTATACGATTTAACATATGAGGAGAGTGCATGCTGATATGATCGGTGTCACTTCTCACTTAGTCACTGTTACATAGCATTGGTTTAGCATGCTCGCCAACTGCCGCACTTGACAGTGTAGGGTATGTAGCTATAAAGCAGACAGCAGTATCTGCTGCCAAGCAAGTCGTGTGCTGGACGCCTAGCAGTTAACAACGACGCAGTCAGTTGAGCCAAAGAATCGTGTGTGTGTTTGTGTGGCTGTGTGTGTGTGTTTGTACGTGTGTGTACGCGAATGTGTTTCCAGTCACATCGAAATTAACATTTAAATTTAAATTTACATTGTTTAAGCCGAGTTTTTGTTGCCACTTTTGGCCGCTCAATTAAATCCGGGCGCTCTTTTGTGCAAAATTCACCAAACGAAACAAAAACGACAACTAGCCAAACTCTTTTTTTTCCTGTGTAGTGTTAACCAGTCGGCGTATTTTATTTATCAAACAAAATACCAACAAGCAAGTGAACAAAATAACGTCTAGTTTGAAGCAGCCAATGCTGACGCCGATGCATAAAAACCAAAAAACTACCGTGTAAGTTAACCAATGGCAACAAGTGTTAATAAAAAACCAAAAAAAAGAGGGAAAAAAGCAGTCTGACTTGGGGCATGCGCCCTTTGACAACTGGCCCAACGGGGGTTCCCACAGGAAGGCCTAAATTGAAAATAACAAAAAACGTTTGCCAAACGCCAAAAAGAAGCCTATTTACAAAATTGAATTTATTTTTTGTACTTTTTTTTCTCATTTTACTTTGCGTGTGGCTTGTGCCCGTGAGAAGTGCATCGACGGGAAACTTGTTGTCAGAGAGAGAGAGAGAGAGAGAAAGAGGAAGTAAATGTGTAGCAAGTATCAAGGTCGCATAAAAATGTGTAGCTTTAAAGTTGAAACATTCGCTTTTGATTTGAATATTTTCATATGCATCAGTCTCTCTACCAGCTAACAGCTAACAGCTACCAGCTCATTTGTTCAGTTCATCCACAACTACATTCACAGAAGCCTATCACTTATCTTTTTGGGTTTTTTGTAAAATTATTTTTGATTGGCCTATTGCCAAGTTAATAATAGACTTTCTGCTATCAAAATGTCAGAACAAACAGTCGCAGCAAAAGTCCGTCAAAACATAAAAGGAAAGTGTTCAAAACCAAATTGTGAACAACTCTTACAACATTTCAGCTATGATAGAATATGAAACACGTTCATAAATGATTTAAATCAGCTTGCATAAAGCGAAATCAATGTACCAATCAGCAATCAGTAAGAATCCAGATTTACATATACCCATTGAACTACAACACAGGTGCCTCCCTCATAAAGATGCTCAACTATGAAGAGCATCTGAGTTAAAGAAAAGGCCACATTGTAAACAGCTGTCACAACACAAATGATATATTGTATTCAGAATAGCGTTATCGTTTTGCAAATTCCACAAAAAAGAATCAATAGCGGACACAACAACAATTAACATTTTGCCTTGGCTCGTATTTTTTGTTTTTTGCCAGTGTAGATAGTACTTATTGACTCGGTGAGTGTTTTTGGTTAGTTTGATGCGAATTTAGATTATCAGTCTGGTCACTGACTTTATTAACTTTTGTTTAAATGTAGTTTCAACTTAAATCTCGAACGTTTCAAATAGAAGTTAGGGAATGGGTAGGAGGAGAGGGAGAGGGAGAGGGGAGAGTACTTATCGCTAGAATAGAAATCACATTCAATAAACATGCCCATCGATAAGTCTCTAGTTTAAAGATAAGCACGCGCTGGCGATAAAAATTGCCTGTAATTGCACATTCCTATAGACGTAGATTGTATATGTATGTGTGTGTGTGTGTATGTGTGTGTGTGTGTGTGTGTGTGTGTGTGTGTGTGTGTGTGTGTGTGTACGGGAATTTCACTAAATTTATCTGTCAGTTGGTGGATCTCGTTCATGTCATGGTTGACAGCTCACCCAAGTGGAATTAGCATTGAATGATGATGATGGGGTTTTTGGGTTCCAGTCCGATCTCAAGTGGCTTTTTGGGCTGGCTGCGGCTGCAATACGGATTGAATTTCACTTGCATTCCCCTTCACAGAAACACTTAACACACAAACACAAACACTTTAGCCGGAGTCAAATTGAAGTACGTGAGTTTATTTGGACGGCTGCACCGAGAACCAAATTCAAAAAAAAAAAAAAAAAAAAAAAAAAACTGCCTTAAAACCCAAAAATAAAGTTGACTTGAAATGCGCATTAAATGCATAAACAAGCATTTGAACCAAACGAGCAAAACCAAAATTTGAGCCAAACCACAAATCCAAACTCTGGCTCGGGGTACAAAGGGGCGCGACACATGTGAGAATGTGACGTGTGTTGGGATTATTTTGTGGCAACCTTTGTGTGCAGCTGTACTCAACTCCAACAGCAGCACAATAAGCTGAACAAACGCAGCGCGGCAAGAACAATAATCAGAATGCAGCTAAATATAATCCAAAAATACGAAACCAACAGCGTACCAGCGGCAAAACACGTCTGCTCATTGTCAATGGCAAGCAATGTTTAATTAAATGCATTTCTCTAATATGCAAACCGAAAGAATTCCTCCTCCACACCCAATTGCCAAGACAACCAACCAACCAACCAACCAACCACACAGAGAAACTTGTCAAAGGCAAAGTTTGGAATGGTTGGCATGCATGGTCCAACAATAGAGAATTCAATTTGATTTTGCATCTCCAATGACCACATGTAGTTGCGTAATTAATAACTGAGAACATGAATCGCATTGTATTTAATCAGTGCAAATTTGGATTCTTATTATTTGCTTAGCCGAATTCATTCATTAATTTTATCAGTGAACAGAAGTTAAAATCTGATCAAATCTAATCTAATCTATCTAATGGCTAAGAGTTATTTAATCAATTGGTCACAGACTTGCGGTGGTCGCTGCTAACGTAACAATTGTGTAACTCTGTCTCCATCAATATATCTATTAGAATATTACCGAATGGTTGTAGTTGTTAGATCAGTGATTTATAGATTTTAGTTGTTAAACAGTAGGTGTTGTCTAGACACGTGTGGTAAATGGTCACTTAGTAGTTGCCACCGCGACTGATCTATTGATCTATTGATTCAGATTGAGCAGTGGAACACACAAAAAACAAAAAACACACACACATACACAGAGAGAAATGTGTGTGTGTCTCTGTGGATGGGTGATTCTTCCACAAACCAATAAGCGCTCCATCAACTGTGTACTGGGTACTTACTTGAACCCATATCTATGGGCTTTAATCAACACTCATTGACACAATTTAATTGTATGGCAACGATGAGCACAATTGTTTCCTCATACACTGGGCGAAAAAAACAAAACAAACAAAACCAAACAACAACTATGAAATGCAGAGGCTAATTATAAATTGATTTGCTTGAGGCACAATCGAAGTGATTATCGAATTGATTATAGAAAATATAAACATATATTTGCGAATGTTAATTCTAAGTCCGCTTATCGCGTAGTGCATATACATATATATATGTGTATATATATATATATATGTATATATATAAGTGTGTGTCTGTGTATATAACTGAGAAATTGCGCCGTCTGATTAATCTCAATTAAATGGCGAACAAGCTGCCAATTGATTGGCGACAATAAAAACGTAGCCTCAACTTCCGCTTCAAGCGCCGCACACGAGAGACATGCATGTGCACGCACACACGCACACACACACACACACATGCACACACACACACACATTAAGTTAGACATCTTTAAGGTGCGCTCCTCAACAGCATTAGATACACCTGTGGAACACGTTGTACTAATGCGATATATACCACTAAGTGTACAAATATGTGAACTTGAGGAACAAGTGTTTCATTATTTGTCTTCTGGCTCCGTGCCTACTGCTGATAACGCACACATAGACAGAGAGTGAGAGAGAGAGAGAGAGAGTGAGGAATAGGAAAGAGATGTTAAAGAGAACGACATAATCAATTGCGCCGCCATCATCAATGCCTATCTGTCGACACATGTATATCGATGTCTGCGCCTCAGTCTCAGTCTTATCTTTGAAGGAGTCAACAGCGCAGACTAATTACCTTAACTGCTGCACAGAGCGAGAGAGAGAGAGAGAGAGATAGAGAGAGAGAGAAGGAGAGAGCTTGATAAGCTCGATGGGCCAGTTGATAGCATAGCCCATCATCGATGTCGATATCTTGTTCTGCTGTGACTTTTATCGCACAAAGCATAATTTACAACACATCTGTTTCCCTCTCAATACATCAATTCAGCTAGTGGCGCCTCTTGTACCAAATGCATTGCTGTGCATTGCTCAGACCTAATTAGTATCCATCATCTCACAGAATGTAGATAACAATGGTAATTGAAAACCCATTTCATTCAGCTCGATCAAATGACAAATAACAAATAACATTCAATCAAACTAAATACGCATAATCAAATATGCCGCATGAATGAAATCGCAGTATGTATAGTTTAACCGTTAACCGCCGGCGCTCACACATACACATATAAAGCCTGCTAGTAAACTCATCACGATTTGATATATATATACATATACATATATTGAGGGCAATCATTTAATGCGATGACGATGCCTTTGCGTTTTGTAATGCTAATATAATAATCGCGCATTTATTATTACTGTCCATGCGGCATGACTTGCAAAAAAGAACGAGAAACAAAAATCAAATTAAAAAAAAAAAAAACAAAAACAAAGACAATGTTATCACGCTATGGCGACGACAAATAACAAATCACATATGCGACAGGTTGAGATCGAAAACCGGTAATAACGATGACGACGATGACGCTTTTTAAGTAGTTGTATCTCTTTTTGTTTTTGTTTTTGTTTTTATTTAAATTTTTTTATTTATTTTTTTTTTTTTTTTGCCGGTCAGCTTAGTGATAGCTACGAAGAGTGTCTTAACTCGTCGCTGGTTGGCTAAGCGAAAGTTTTGACATGCACACAGACCAGACACAAGGCACCAGTTACCACCAGGCAGCAGGCAGCTGGCAGCAGGCACATCGTTGATCGATGGTCGGCCTCAGTGCGAGGCTGTTAAGTGCTGCTGCTCCCCTTTCTTAGTCCCTGTTACGATCACTGTCTGCGTGGACTGTGTGGACTGTGTGGACTGCCTCCTGACACTGACACTGACACCGACAGTCTCTTGGCTCTTGAATCTCTGACAGCGGGCGTCAATTTATGGCACGCTTCGATGGAGTTCAATGGCAAAAACAAGACGCTTAACGTTCACCAACCCAATCTCAATCTCAATGAAGACATCCAAGTGCCAACTGGCAGCATCGCAGCATCACAGCCGGTGCATCAGTGACAGACTCAGTTTCGTCTCCGAATTATCGCTGCATAAATAGAAGCCAAGCAATGAGGGCGACGTCAATGTCACAAAGATTGCCTGCTCCCCCAACTCCTGCTCCTCTTTCATCCTGCCCACATTTTAGTCTCTTCATTATTTTTACAACTAAACCATTTTTAAGTTTTTTTCTTTTGTTTGGTTTTTGTCTTTGATTTTAATGAGGAATGAGCTCAATGACTGCGAAACTGTTCCCCTGCACTCCCGTCCCGTCCCGTCCCGTACGACTTTACGTTCTGGTTCTGGTTGTCGTTCTGGTTTTCAGTTTACGACTTATCCCGTCTATTCCCTTGTGTGGCCAGCTCGATGGCATCGGAATGCATTGATCCCGCTGAACCGGGCACACCCGCTAAGTGATTTCCTTTTGGTCTTTTGGTCTCTTGGTCTCTTGGCAGGAGTCTCTTCTACTCGCATCGTCGTGTTTTGCATACAAAATCGCTAAAATGATTGCCGCCTTTTCTCATGTCTCTCATGTCGCGCCCGTATATGAAAAAAGAGAAGAAAAACAAAACAAAATAGAAAATATATATATATATATGAGTCTACGATAGACCCGCCCCTAATATGTACGGGATGGGCAAACGTTGTCAATGCCAATTAGCAATTAGAGCATTATCTAGCATTAGTCAGTCATAATGATGAGGTGTGTCGCGTCGATGAAGTCCTATCCCTCATTGATAGTCCACAATTCTTCAGCACAATCAAATGGCGACAATATCGAACAGCTATTTCGAACGTGGCACATCAGGGCAGATTATAAATCGTTTATCAATTCACATAATCACTTCCAATTGCTCTGGAAATTCGCATTCAGTTTAAGTTTCATAGTGATTGATCTAATGGGATACAGATCTTAGACTGAATCGCTTATCAAAATGCGTCTCTCAAGTGAAATGCGTCTCATCATGAAGATCTTGCTTGTTGTTTGCTAGGCACTGGTTCAATGTCACCCTGATGACATTTGGATTTGTATAAATGATATTTCATTCTTGATACTATAAAGAATTGCGCTTTTGCTGGAAGTATTTCATATATGTATATTATATACTTAATCAGTTGCTAACCAAATCACGATTCGATCACAACATGAACTTTACCTTAGTCTTTTTACATAATTATTGAGAATTGTTATATGTTGTCTAAAACTATCGTTATCGTTTTGCATAACTGGAATACAGGTGCTTCTGACATCTGGCCGATACAACACCATGGAGAAGTCAACGCTCACACAGAAGAATTACGCATGTGTCTACAATGAGACAACGAAGCCAAAGAAGCCGAAGCGTCGCGACAAGAGCGATCTGGGACCCGATTTTGTGGCGCCCGATGGCGGCTGGGGTTGGGTCATCTGTCTCGCAGCGGGCTTCAACAATGTGAGTAGCTAAAAGTGCCTCCAAACGGATCTGTAAACCAAACCAAACCAAACCAAACCAATGACTGACAATGACTGGCATCCGCAGTTCTTTATGTTTCCAGCGCTGCAGCAGTATGGCCTGATATACAGGGTGCGCATGTCATCGCTGGGATTCGATGCCAAGGAGACGACCATCATTGTGAACGTGGTGATGACCCTCTCCTCGATAGTGGGTAAGCTGTGCATACCATATTATATATATATATATATTACAGATTAAATTGCAAAAACAAATAGGTTTAATTCAAAATGAAAATAATAAATTAATCGAACTTGAACTTATTAGAGATCATAGCTGTGGGTTTAATCGGTTACTGATTTGCAAACACTTTGCATAGACTTTATTGGTGTTTACTCAATTTTGAAAAATACGATACGATTTCTAAGATTGATAAGATAATTTATGGGCCACGCCAAAACCTGCCTGTCAATAATTTCAAAATTAGATAATTAAGGCACTTTCATGATTATTATCAAACCTATTATCCGTCTTAATTATGCAACGAATGCGAAAAGAAATACCCATTTGACTTACAAGACTATTAAGCATAATGATATCGGTTTGATAATCGTTTTTCAAATGATTAGCGAGTTGAAATTTACATTGTGATTATCGAATTTTACAGGTATTTTCAATGGGGCCATGTTTCGACGGTTCACGTTTCGCCAGGTGGCCATAACGGGCACAACTTTGGGCTTTCTGGGCATCTTCTTATCGGCCTTCTGCACCACCGTCTGGCAGTATATTATCTGTCTGTCCCTCATCTATGGTGTGGGTCTCGGCCTGGCCATGGCGGCCGTATCGCTGGCTGTTAACACATACTTTATGCTGAGTCGACGACGCGCCACTGGCTTCTCGTGGACAATAACGGGATTGGGGCCGATTATCTTTCCGTATGTGTCCACCTTTCTGCTGGACTACTATGGCGCCCAAGGCACCATATTGATATATTCGGGCATCGCATTGAATGCCGTACTCTGTGCCCTTACACTGCAGCCGGTGATGCGGCATGTCCGCAAACCGGAGAAGCCCGACACCGATGTCAAGGAGCAGCCGGAGCTGCTCGAGGCCAATGGGAATCTGCTGACGCCCGGCAATGATCCATGGAGTGACTATGAGTGCAAGTACTGTCAATATCAGAAGCGCTCCAAGCGTGGCATCTTCTCATCGCAATATTTGTTCATCGACAACGATCTGGAGAATCCGGTCTTCGAGATAACCGATCCAGGTACACCGATGCTAGCGCGTGCCAACGATGGCTGGTTTGGATCGAAGCTATCCCTGGCATCTGACCGTCGCCAGGTGCTGTTGCGTCAGGCCTCCGTTGCCGTTTCGGCGGCAAAGGGTAGTCGTGAAAATCTGGACAGACCGGAGGAGGCCAGAGAGCTGACTGATCGAAACGGATCGTCTCCGGCTGCGACTGCTTTGCCCAAGTCAAATTATTTTCATCGCGAACGCGACGATATCGCTCGATATGCGAGCAAGGCGAGCATCTATTCCAAGCACGGTGGCGAGGAGCTGCTGCGCTGCACCTGTGCCGAGGACAAGGCGCTGCTGGAAAAGTCCGGCGAAGCGCTGCAATTGCAACAGGTGGCACTGGAAGCCGCAGAGGAGGCCGAGGAGGAGGCCAAGCGCAAGATGACCTTCCGTCAGAAGGTTACCAAATTCTTTGATCTCGATCTATTGCGGAATTTCACATTCGTCAATTTGGTGATCGGCATGAGCATAATGATGTTCGGTGAGATGAACTTCTCGGTGCTGACACCGTTCATCCTGAACAGCTACGGATATACAGACAAACAGTGTTCGCTAGTCATGTCCTTGCTGGCGTGCATGGACATCTCGGTGCGCTTCCTGGCACCGCTCTGCTTGGATAAGGTCAAGCTGGATAATCGGGTGCTGTTTGCCTTTGGCATTGTGTGCATTGCTGTCGGCCGTGTCATTGTCACAATGACATCATCTTTTGACATAGTTATTGCCGTCTTTCTGTTGATTGGATTTGGCAAGGGATTCCGCACCATATTCTCACCATTGATCATTCCCAGCTATGTGCCATTGCGTCGCCTGCCCGCCGCATCTGGACTGCAGCTGATCTTCAACACGATCTTCTCGTTGGCCATGGGCCCCCTACTGGGTACGTATCAATTGCAGATGTATCTCCTTCTCTTTGCATCCTTCTAACATTTTTTTTTTTGCTTTCGTTTTCTTCGCAGGCATTATCACCGAAGCCTTTGGCTACAGCGCCACCATCCATGCCATCAATTTACTGACAGCCATTGCTCTGTTAATGTGGCTCACCGAGTCGGTGGTGCGGCGAGCCATCGGCAAGCCGTATAATCCACCGGAACAATAAAGAAAAGACGCATCATCTTTGCCACTGGAACTGGACTACTTATGCAGCCAACCAGTTTAGAATTGGGCAATTGTCTTGGGCCTACAGACAGATTATATATCTGGAATGCCTTGAGCATAGTATTACCTTAAGCGAACGTTCGTCGTTTCTTGATATACATATATATATATATATAAATCTATATCTATGTGAGCAATTTTAACTTACCTATAATTATAAGTAAAGATGAATTTTTTTTTTAGTATTAATTTAATTTAAGTACATTAAATATGGTAATATAATTTAAATTTAAAAAAAAACGATATTTTTAAGTATGTGTGTTTGTTTTCAAAAATACATACGTAGCTACCAAAAAGGCTCTTGTTTTTTATATGGGAGATATGGTCACACTGCATTTCGATTGGATACCTTTGGTTCCTGCATTGGCTAAATCGGTGTTGAGCAATCAACAAAAACGGGGCATACTTTTAAGGGCGCACAGGCGATGAGAGAAATAAGGGTCTAACTCGTTCATATGCTTGCAAAAATTGTCGAAGGACATGATGCGTTCGTATCGCAAGGATCAGCTCCATTGAGTTGCATTCGAGGAATATGGGATCATCTAAGAACCCAAACACTTGTAATACGATCACTGCAAGGACGATTGGGAAGTCCATTGGCCAAAATAAAAAGTTTGACATAGATTTCGCCAGGAGCCATAAGGATATGGCCGAACTGCATGCGCTTTTTTTCTGCTCACAAGTTTATTTGAGCAGCTTTTTATTGCTTAATTTGCATCTGCAGGCGAAGAGCTATTTGTATTTCAAAGAACTTCCGGTCAGTCCTTGCAATTACGTCCGATTTTTACATATTTCAAAATGACTTGTCCCTATTCAAGTGCAGCGGAGTGTACATATGCAAACACATATACACATCTGGCCAGTAAAATAGGTGTGAAGACAATCAATTAGTGGCAAGAAATATGCATGACTGCTTTATTAGTTTATTTAATATGGAATTCTTTACATTTTGGTGAGTTACGTTTCTTTTAGCATTGTGATCAAACAAATTTATCTGATTTTCATCATTCCAGTGAATGTTGTGTCATTTTTTATTTAATTTCCGATCGAAATATGAAATCGAATAGACTTAAGAGCTTTATCAAGAATACAATTGATGTAGCCAAGCAATTGTCAATTTTTTCCTTGTTCTTAGAGCTAACACTCTATCGTCTATCAAGATAAGCCTTTATTATAATGAATATATGCTCACCTCTCGCATACAAAAATCAAGAGAGAAATTAAAGTTTTGTTAATATAAAAGAAATGTGTCAAATCTGCTTGTTTTCATTTAGAAGAAACAACATTTACAAATGAAAATATTTGATATTGGACATGATATACAATAAACACATGGTGTTCACGCCTATCTTACTGTCCAGGTGTGTACATGCGTGTGTGTGTGTGCGTGTGTGTGTGAGAGAGAGAGCTACAGATAACAGGAGCAGCGATTAACAGTGGCGCTGTTAATTAACAGACATAGCTGCTTGCATTGGCAGTTTTTGTCGGTTGTTGGTTGCCGGTTGTCGTTTGTCGGTTGGTCTGCCTGTGATTCTGTCGTTCGGCCAGTATCGAGGTCTCTCAATTGTTTTTTGGCGCTGCGCTGATTCGCCAACAGCCAACAGCATCGGCATTCAGTTCGCTTGAGCAGCTAAAAGCGTCGAAACGAGAAGCGAGAAACGAGCGCGGTGCAAACTGCAAACTGCGAACTGCGAACCATTCATTAAACGTTTCGCCATTGTCCGCGAACCGCGAACCGCCAACCGCGATCCATTAATTGGTAGCCATTATTAACAGCGTGCAAATTGGACAATTCATATTGCAATTGGATTCGAATACGGCGGAATACGAACTACGGATTGGACAGTGTAGTTGTCTCGTTTGTTGCATTTTGTTCGTATTTTTTTTGTTGTTGTTGTTTGAAAGGCGCCAATGACAAGTGAGCACAACCTTAAACCCCACCCCAACCCCCAACCCAACCTCCACCCTCACCCCCACTCCTGCCCAGTGCGTGCGGCGACCTTGGACGTGATTGAGGTGCCAAAGTCAAAACCATTAAGCGATGTAATTGCTAAATGTTGTATCAGTGTATGTGTGTGCGTGTGTGTGTGTGTTTGGGTAAAAATAAATTGCAAAGGCAAAGGAAAAGCCAAAGGCATCTTTTTTTTTGTCTTTATTATTTTGTTGATTAGCCCCCCCTCCAAGCTGCCAAATCAGTTGCCAATTTTCGCAATTGCCAACACTAGGCATTAACCAAACCAATTCAAGAGCCATATAATATATATATATATATATGTAATAAGAGTGTGTGCAAATACAGGCTGTTAGCGATTACATGACGGCTAAAAAGTGATTAGCTGTAAACCGCTCTTATCACAAATGCCGCCAAATAGCTGCTCACCTGCCGCATTATCGAAGCTTTGCTGTATTTTTTATTTATTATGCACTGGCAGATATTAATAAATGGGTGGGATTTGCTGTTGCCGAGCCAAATGGAAAACTTCGCATCGATATAGTGACAGATTTGTGAATGTGTCGAAAAGGACCAACAACTACATATCCAGCAATTTACAGCTACGACGAACGCAATCTAATCAATATTATCAGTTAGTGATCAATAGTTTTACACACACACACGCACACACACACAGAGACACATCTGTAGAGGTTAGTTGTTTTGTAGTATTGTATCTATTTGAAAGCTGGTCAAGTCTGGCCACTGAAGGTAAATATTTGCTTAATGCGCTCTATTCCATTTTTGTGCAGTGTACTTACAGATAAACAGCAAATCGATGATAAACTGATTAACTGCATACTTTGTATATTTGATGTTGTGAGTAATCGCAAATCGCAAATCGCATAACAAAAGATGGCAAATTGATCGCAATAACGATCTGAACAATTGAAACAATTAAATTGCTTATCACAAATTAGCTGATACTTGCCAGACATGGATGGCTTCTTATCAGTGACCTCTCTTTGGTATTTCATATGGTACAGGCACAGACCTAGTTATGTATATATATATATATATATATAGGTATATAGCTCGTATATAGCAAGTATAACATATGATTCACACACGAAAATCGCAAACAATTTGCGCGCTAAATCTAAGTCTGGGTCTTTCACTCTGAAATGAGCATGCTGATAAGCAATGCCAATGATCCAAATATTTTAGCTATGGTTACCAAACGACCCGGCCATGAACCCGGCGTCGCCTGGCCGATCAGCAGCAAATAACACCGATAACAGTAGCAATACCTACCTAGATCCACACAATCCATAATCCGTCTGAGTTACTCAAATTGCATCCCCATTACCGGCGACAGTAGATCTAAATCATCTATGGCAGCATACTATAAAGATCATCTTAGTTGAAGGAATGTTTGGCATTGGCAGCAAAGTAAAGTCAAAAATCAATTGAAATAAACAAGGCTGAATCAATAATTGAAATTCATCAATTAAGAACTGCAACGTTTGCTTGCGATGTAAAAAGTGTTTACATCATTTAAGAGTTTGTCTTAATATTTATTTTATTAGAGATTATTTGAGAGAATTCTTCAACAGATTTTATATTGATGTGTTGCTAACAAAACAGTTTCTATTTCTATTCCATCTCTATTCTAACAACATTATTTCGTTCGTTTTTTATGGACTGGCCATCGTTGGGATTAGGAATATGACACCACAGGAGAAGAAGGTGTATGGGGATACCACACAGCCGCTGCCGAGGCGTGATCGGGGCTACTATAATCGAAGGGACAAGAGTGATCTTGGCGAGCATTTTGTGGCGCCCGATGGCGGCTGGGCGTGGCTGGTGTGCGTGGCCGCTGGCTTATCCAATGTAGGTAAAATTTCAAGCACAATTACACCCAAATGCGAATGATGCAATCAATCCAATCAATTGTATCGTCTCTGGTCAATACAGCTATCGCTGTATCCGTGCCTGCAACAGTTTGGCTTCCTGTTCCGGGAGCGGCTTATCAGTCTGGGCATGTCCAGCTCACAGGTGACGGCCATAATCAATACAAACCCAGCCGTATCTGCCTGTACGGGCCTCCTCAATGGTCCAATGTTCCGGCGCTTCACCTTCCGCCAGGTGGCCATGGCTGGCTCCCTGCTCTGCTTCACCGGCATAGCCCTCACAGCCTTCTGTGAGACCTTTGCTGGCTACATCTTTGCATATGCTATTTTATATGGTAAGTCCATATCTAAATCATCTAAAATTTAAGAGATCAATTGGAGAATTTGTATATAATTTGTGAATATTTGCTTCGAAACAAATATTATTTGAAATTATTTATAATTAATTTAGATTTATCATATTATATTTTACGAACGGATTGGATTTTAGGCTTTGGCATGGGGATTAGTGTGAGCGCCTCCTCGCTGGCCATCAATACGTATTTTCAGCAGAAGCGTCGACGCGCCGCTGGCTTCTCGTGGACAATAACGGGACTGGGACCGATCTTTCTGCCATATCTGGTCACATTTCTGCAAAGCGTCTACGCTGTGCAGGGAACCGTGCTGATCTTTGCGGCCAATTCGCTACACTCGTTTGTCAGTGCGCTAATCTATCAGCCGGTGCGTTATCATGTGGCGCCAACTCTTATGCAGGTGGAGCAGCAGCAGCAGCAGCAGCAGCAGCAGCTGGAGCCACAGGCGGAGATATTGTGCGTCCATTGTGCGCAGCAGCAGAAGCGAGAGCCGGGCGGCATCTTCTCCAGTCAGTATCTGTGCCAGGACGACGATGCACAGAGGCCCGGCTACGAGATCATTGAGCCGGGCACGCCCATGTTGTCGCGAGCCAATGATGGCTGGTATGGATCGAATCTATCGCTCAATCGCTCAACCGGACGCAAGCGATTTCGCACGGTGTCCAGCTGCAAAGATTTGGAGCACACACAGCGGCTGCATTCCCCGATCGACGAGGAGGATCAGCAGCAGGATACAGAGCGAGAGTTCTTTCGGCCCAACAATTTTCGGCGTGAGCGCGAAGAATCCAATCTGGAGTCGAGGCTCGGCTGCACCTGTGCCGAGCAGCGGGCCCTCTACGCATCCCATCAAGCAGCGCTGCTCGAGCGAAACAAGAATGATGACACGCAAATGGCGGAAACTCTGGCAAAGATGTCCTTCAGACAGAAGCTGGTGACGTTTTTCGATCTGGATCTGCTGCGGGATGTGACCTTCGTGAATCTGGTTGCCGGCCTGACGGTCATCAATTTTGGCGAGCTCAACTTTTCGATCCTAACACCGTTCATACTGACTGACTTTGGATTTGACACGTCACAGATTACCGTGGCCATGTCACTGATGGCCGGCATGGATATCACAATGAGATTTCTGGTGCCGTTCATTACCGAGAAGATGACTTGGGATAATCGTGTCTTTTTTCTAATCGGCGTCGTTGGCATCGCCCTTGGGCGTACCATTGTTGCCGGCACCAGATCCTTTGCGGTCATCCTCTCCTGCTTTGTGTGGATCGGCTTGTGCAAGGGAGTGCGCACCATATTCTGGCCACTGATCATACCTGGCTATGTGCCATTGAATCGCTTGCCAGGCGCCTCCGGACTGCAGCTACTCATCTCAGGTCTATTCACGCTCATCTGCGGTCCCCTTGTCGGTGAGCATCCACCAAACACAGCAATGCAGCTCCATTATTTATTGATTTATAATTAATTCATTTGCAATTGCAGGTCTTGTGCGGGATCGCTACAACTATTCGGTGACGCTGCACTGCCTCGACGCATTGTCATTTGTGGCAGCTGCCTTGTGGTGTTTGGAGGCGCTGCTGCGACGACACAGAAGCAAACGGATCAGCTGATCAATATATATATTTATATATATATATATACATATATACATATAACTTTTTTTTTGTTTTAATGTAAGCTCTATATAATACAACTTGTACTTATAATTTAAAAGACATACTGTACTTATTAAAAAAGAAACGAAAAATGAAAACCTAAAAACACTCTACGAATTTAAGGCATACTTTTAGGATGAACAATAAAATCAACAATTTGCTTAACACAAATTATCTGATACTTGCCAGACATGGATGGCTTCTTATCAGTGACCTCTCTTTGGTATTTCATATGGTACATGCACAAACCTAATTATGTATATATATATATATATATATATATATATATAGGTATATAGCTCGTATATAGCAAGTATAACATATGATTCACACACGAAAATCGCAAACAATTTGCGCGCTAAATCTAACATAAAAACAAACTATGAATATGAGGCATACTTTTAGGATGAACAATAAAATCAGCGATTCGGCTTGACAAGTCAAAATGTGCAGCATACTTTTAGGCTAAAGCAAATGTCTGCCATCATTATCTTGACTACAAGGATTAGTAGGTCATCTAAGAATCAAAAGACTTGTGTAAATCACTTGCAGGACGAACGGAAAGTGTATCCAAATCCAAATCGTTTCTTTCTCCAAAAATACAAGGACGATTTGGTTTTGACGATTCATGAAAATCTTTGCTTAATATCAGATCAAAAATATATCCTTCCTAGATCCTTAAGGATATGATTCAACTATGGCTAAAAGAAAACGAATGCAATTTTTAGACAAATATTTATATCTCTGCCAAATCCTGACAGGACCTCCGCAAGGACCTCCTTTTAACGAACTGCATTCGAGCATTAAATGTTCGTCTAGATATAAATTTCAGCCGGCTCAAAACAAAAATTTATTCATGTCCTTTGCTAAAGGACCTTTTGACACGTATTTATCTCTGTCTGTTTCCATATCTGTCCCATTGCCCCGATATTGCATAAAAATAATACAGGATGTGTTAGCAAAAAAATATGTTTATTAATTGTTGTTTTTTGTTTTTGTTTTTTGTTGTTGATTTGTCTTTAAGCTTAACGACTGCATATTTGCTTCCTCCATCTCTCTCTCTCTCTCTTGTTCTCTCCCTCTCGCACTCTCTCTCTCTCCCGCTCTTTTTCTATGATATTTACAATATTGAGTTAACGTATTATAAGTTAGGTATACAGTACAGTAAACTTGATTACAATACATAAATAGGTATTTAGTTCAAATCTCTTAAATATTTTTGTTAGATGTTATGAAACATTGCAGCGACTGAATAGCAAGAATAAAATCATACAAAATAAAAAGCTAAGATCGACGGGCCGATATTTTGGATGAGCTCTCCAACTGCCCGATTTGCTGGAAATACATATGCTTTAATTTATTATTTTCTTTTATTTTATTTTTATTTTTTTTTTTTGCTATTTACACACGTTTTTGAACGCAGTTCGGAGAGCACTTTTTTTTGGGAATTTCCAAATTAAAATTGCAATTAATTAAATTTTTTTTTTTTAGCTTATGGACCCACGCAGAGTGTTGGACCCCCTAACCACTAGTTAGAGTAGAGTATGTTTACATAGCTTTGGTTACACTTGTTGTTCGTTTTAGTTTTTGGTATGTCAATGTAAAAAAAATACGTATTTTGTATTTTGTATTTGGATTTGTGTGTGGAAAAATTCGTTAGAAATGTTTCGCTAATACATTGATTATATGTAACTTGGGTTATAGCTGGCATGTGCTGTGTATATAATGGTAAATATATTTATATATTTATATATATAATAACACTATGCAACAAAATAATGTGAATGATTAGAAATCAAAAATACTTTTTAGTTTTGTATCCAAATTTCGTTGAAATTGCATAGAAATTTGGCAGCTTATTAATCGTATTTGAAAAATAAAAATACAAAAAAAAAGAAGAAAAAAAAACATGTAAACTAGAAGAGATCGAGACCAGTTTGAACAGTTTGCTTGAATTAGCCATTAAGTATACATAACAGACAAATTCAGTCTAAAATTAATTGTGTTTAAGATTTAGCAAACATAAAATACAATTTAAATTTGTTTCTAAAATGCATTTGGTAAAATAACAATAACAAAAACCATGTTGCATAGTGTTGTTGTTACAGTTTCGCTTGGTTTTTTCATTACTTTTCATTACTTTTACTTGGTTTTTTTGTTTTTTGGTTTTGGTATGTGTGGAAAAAAAGTCTCGACAGTTCGACAAGTTAGACAAGCGACTGGCGAACATGTCATAAAAGTTGAAAGTTGAAAGGCGCTACAGCGCTTTAGCTATTGATCTATAGACATCGATATCGATATCGATTGATCTGATGACGCCTAGAGCGTCTTCAGCATGGTCGCCTTGCTGGCGCTGCTCTTGTACGTCTCATAGGTGGCTGCCGCGGCGCCCACATGCAGCTGCGCATAGCCGGAACTATTGGCGACGGCAGCGGCAACAACATCGGCGCCATTAACAACCGTCGGCGTTATTGGCTTGTGCGGCTTATAGCGCTGCAGCATCTCAGCCGAGGTGAGCTTGAGCGTCTCGCTCATTTGCGATCGGACGTTCTCCATTAGCGTATCGATATCGTCCTTGGTGAGTCCTTCGGTGCTCACTGGCGGCAGCGTGGTAATCACAATACGACCGGCATTCAATATCTTCTTTTTGTCGTTGAGGAATGTACAATAGGAGCTGAAGACGACCGGCAGTATGGGTATCTGCTGGTCGATGGCCATGTGAAAGGCGCCCTTCTTGAACGGATGCAGCTCACCGGTGTTGCGGCGTGTGCCCTCCGGGAATACCCAAAGCTTAATGCGTTGCTTCTTAATCCGACGATTCACCTCATTCAGCGTTTCACGCGCCTTCTCACCCCGCACCCGATCAATAAAGATCAGGCCGGCCAGCCAGGCGGCCAAGCCAAACGGCCAAACATAGAAGAGTTCACGCTTCGCAACAACCGTGCACTTGTTCATCACATGCCAGATGTTAAACATGCCTAGAAGCATACAAATTGATCATATAAAGTGACGAATTTCGATTGCACACTTCGCATTTCAATTCACTTACCCAGCACATCCAGTGAGCTCTGATGGTTGGCCACTATGATGCAGGCCTGATCCTTCTCCAGATGCTCCTTGCCGCGCAGTTCCCAGCGCAGACCAATCAGAGTTGTGACGCGATGGCACCAGGAGCTCGCCCATCTGAAAAATGGAAAGCCAAACAAATAAATAACATAATCGGCAAGTTGGCTTTAAGATACATATTTGTGTCATATTTGCTGCTTGAGAAACTTGAAAACAAACACCAATCAGACAAAACAATGTATTGCTACAAGTGCTTTTGAAAGTACTCGAAAATTAATCAATAAAAATAACAAAGTATGCTAAGATGATAGTAATTTATTATATAATGTATATATATATATATATATATGTTGATAATGTTTGCCATTGATAAGTCAAGTTCGTAAATTAAAGTGTGATTTTCGATAACATTAAAAAGAGCAACTCCAAAAATTGATTGATTACAATCTCTTCATTGAACATCGTGGCCAAGTTTAGAAGATCATACGATTACACGATTATGTATATATATATATATAATGTGCAACGGATAGGATGCCCAATGGGTCAGTTAAGCGTACAAAACAAGAGCACTTTCAACGGAAAGTGAAGCGACCAGCAGATGAGTCTGTCTGCTGCTTGGATGGGAATACGGACGGGATTGGCTCAAACAGCAGCAGAACAACACCTTCAATGCGAAAAAGAGTCGCTTCATCCAGTCCGACTACGAATGGCTGCTCAGGAAGCGCGTCGATGTCTTCAATCAACTTGGCAACTATTCACACGCCGTCTGCAGCCACAAAAGAAGTGCCTTTGAAATACAGCCAAAATCTGAGCAGATCTGTGGCAAGGTAATTGCAACCGATTGCAGCATTTTAACAAACATATTCTTGTCACAGTTAACTACAAGTTTACAGACATTTTTTGTAAACGATTTGCGATATTTGAGCATTTGAAGCGCGACAGCAACACGAGAAAATGTCGAAAAAACAACAACAAAAAACGCGTGAAAACGATTTTTCTCAATTTCCCTAGACAAACCAAAAATACAATTTTTTTTTATTTATTTATTTTTTTTTTTTTTGGCAAATTCTAAGCATTTGTCGAGAAGATCAACGAACACTGCAGTTGGCAATGGCGTTGCACGACTCAAAATTATTGCAGCTTGTCGAGACGCGACCCTGACCACAGCTAGAGGTCTCTCAAGAGACAGAGAAAGAGAGAGAGAAAAAGAGAGAGAGAGATCTCGAGATTCAGTCAAGTGTAGCGATCAGTAATTAAAATGCAAAATGCGCTTTAAAAGAAACAAATAAAAAATTATAAATATTATTATAATTTTTTAAACAGATACCGCAAGGTTATATGGTCGTCCGTGGGGGGGTGGGGGAGTGGGAGGCTGACCCAGCTGTCAGCCAGCACTGATTATATGCATATACAGAACGGCAACAACTGAAAGAGCAAAAAAAACTCATCACGACACTTGACATCGGCTTAACGAACGAATTATAGATATAGTTACAGATATACACTATATATAACATGTTCGTAGCCAGCCGTAGGCTTCTTAGACTCGATTTCTATCGTAGACAAGAAAGTTGACAGTTGAATGATGCCAGAGAATCATCGAATACGAGTGACAACAGACCAGACAGGTCGGGGATATTGGGCATAGAGCTCTACATGGAATGTAAAGAGTCATTTGAAATTACTCTCCACAAACTGCAGCTGATAATCAATTGCAATTGAAATGTCATCCAATATGCATACGCAGAAGAAGGCAACCCCAACCACAACCCCATCCACAACCCCAACGACAAATTGCAATTGAGTCAAAACAAGCACGGGGAATCGGAATCGGAATGAAATCGAACTAAATCAAATTGGTTGACAGGTAAGCCAAAACAAGCAGAGACAAAAGCGGCGGGGCATCGGAATCGGAATGAAATGGAATGGAATCGAATCGAATCGAAGAAAAGCAATCAGCTGGGTAGTTTGGTAGTAGACTAGTCCGAGTCAGATGACCTCGGATAATTGCCTGTTGGCATTGGCGCCCAGACCCAACCACGACCAACGGGCAAACAATATGATTGACTACACTGCGCAAAAAGAAATCAAGTAAATCAAAAATAAATCAAGTAAATCAAAAATAAATCAAGTAATCAAAACTGAAAACAAAACAAAAATGTTTGCACTTGATGCAAGAAGAACTTTGCTTGAATCGACAATCGACAGTCAAATTGAGTCGGTTTTTTCTCTTTTTTTTTCGTCATTTTGTCGTTTTGTTGTTGCATGTGTGTTGCCTTTGCAGTATGTGCAACACACGTCTACAAATGCTGAGCTGAATGTGTCCTTCAATTGCCGCTAACACGAGTATGGTCAACAAATTGAACACTTAAATGTTTGATTACAGGGCCAGTTGATGTTGTTGTTATTGTAGGTGTTATTGTTGTTGTTATTGTTGTTGTTTGGGTTGTATTTTTGTGGCAGGTGCAGGTGTTCATGAGCCACGCTTTGAGCTCGTTTTGCAAGTTGCTTTTCAACTATTAATGTTTATATATTTTAATGAATTTAGTTGTGTAACTAAATATAAGCCAGGACGACACGCCGAATAAGCCAACTGCCCCTTTTAACTTATTCATTATTATTGTTACAGTCAGAACACTTGGTTAGACGACAACGTAGACTGGTCACTACTTATGAATTAGTAAGTTATAATTGGTAAACACATGTGGGCAATGGCACTAAGGAAAGTTACGAGATGGTTAAATCTTCAACAATTCTTGATTTTGGTGCATTTGGAGTATTATGTTATCGTAAGACTCGCATTTGGATTGAGATTCCTGTTCATTGGAATCAAGAACGTAAGTTCAATCTGAGTTCCATTCAATTTGTACATTTTGACAATTCGAGGAACTGTCAGAAGGACTTTAAGGACTAAGGCAAATAGTAGCTAGGACAACACGACTGTAAAGAAAAACAATGTGGCCTTATTAAGCTGACCACAATCAAATGGTTGAACAAATGTCTAATAGCAGAAAAACCCTTTAGATAATGAACCTATACCAATAAGAATCAAGCAGAAAATTGCACTCAAAATGTCATATAATCAATTTACAACCTCTTGGAAATGTCCAGCACACTGAGATTTCGAAAAAAATGTGTTTACATATACGACAAAGGTATATGGCTAGCTAGCTAGTTGGCTGCTCAGTTGGCTTTTGTTTCTAGGTAGGACGACACTGATTTCAGTTGGCTGCGTACTTGACAAATGCCACAATAAAGAACAATAGCACCGCGTACCGACAAAAAAACAGTGCATATCGATTTCTCAGTGTCGGCAGGGCAGGGGAGGCAAACAAACAACCAACAAACAAACGACAAAATAATACTGCAGACGAAGGGGGTTCCGATTTATCAAAGCACTTGGAGCATTTTGTGTTTTTGTGTTTTTGTGGCACATTTATGGCATTGCACAGCAAGCGTGTGGTTGATGATAAGCCAACGTCTACAAATAATTAGTTTTATGCTTTGATTAGTCTCAATTTTACAGCCAGATATGCATTTTGTATTTATTGTCCATTCGATACTCACAGTAAATTGCGCACGTCACAGGGACGTGTGAGAAATGCCGGTATCAAGATGATCGCATTGAACGAGACGATCCCATAATACATGACAAACTTGAAATAGTAGCGAAAGATGTGATTTGTCTCGTACAGAAAGGGCAACATCAGCACCAGAAACAATCCAAACAGTTCCACATACGAGCTCATTGTGAGTGGCGATGCAAATGTATCCAAATATCTTTTTCGGTCTTCCTTTCCTCCCTCCTCCTGATCCTCTGTATCCTGACTCTCCTCTGCTATATGTACTCCTCGGCGATGCTTAAGGCAGAATGGTATGCAGTCTTTTCTTGTTTATATTATACAGATCTCGATCACAGCTGTAATGGAAGTGAAAGCGACAACCGAAATTAGCATTCAATTGAGCAATACTTATAATAATATTAATAGTAATAATAATATAAGATATACAATAATGATATCAATATCAATTTACAGTGATCTGTAATTTAGTAGTCAAAATTCGATTTTATTTTCAGAGATATTTATTTCTCGATCTGCTTGGAAAAATGATATATATTTATACAACAACAAAAAAAACTTGTACATTACTGAAAATTGGAATTAATGCGTGCATCATTAAATACATATATTATTTACATATTATTGCAAATGATCCGAGCCGACTTGGCATATTTCCATCTCAATTAACACTCAATTTATCTGTCCGCAATGTTCGTGACTCTGATTGTTGTGCCATTTAAATGGACAGCACTGTAAATAGCCGTGTGAGTTACGGTGCAGAATAGCAAGTATAAGAGTAACAGAGAAAGGGATAGGGATACGGTGTCGAGCAAAAGGAAAAGGAAGAGGAAGAGCAAGAGGAGGGATTGCGTGCATTTCGCAGCGCATTCTTTGGCCCTGCTACCACGATTATTTGGCGAGTGCAACAGTAACAGTAAAAGTAACAACAACAACAACTCATTTCACATACCACACATGCTTATATATGTATATATATATATATATATATATATATATATATGTATGCTGTGCTCCACCAGCCGGATAAAAAAAATCAATTTAAATTGCCGACCAAAACAAACTAGCAAAAGTTGAAGGAATCATTTTTTATGAGGGCGACATAATTGAACATTATGTTCACTTATCAATTGGAATACCGTTATTTATGTGTTGAGCGTATTTGTTGATGATAGTAAAATACGCTATTTGATTAGCTCGCATTCGACTCTGATTAGCAATAATACAAATATCGAATTCATGCCTCAGCTTAATTCTCATATTCGCCTGATAAGTCAATTTTACTGAATGAAGTTTTAATTAATAGTTCCAAATATGTTTAAAGTTAGATCAGCTGAAGTTAAGTCTTCTTTTCTGCCAGAAAATGTTGACCAAGTTGGGGGATTGGGCGGAGCTTTTCCCTGCCAGTATCTGGTATTATAAACGATATTAGTCCATATCTATACTGGTAAAGATTACGTATAGTACGAAGATAAAAATGTCAAATTTTTGTATTTTTAAGTTAATATAAAAATCTTATTGACATTTACGAATGCTTCAAAGCAATATTTCATTTTTAATAAGGGATGGAAGAAAGAAACTTAATTTCTAAAATCAAATTCGTTTTGCGCAAAATAGGAACTTATATTTCACATAATTATGGATATATGTATGTCAAACATCAAATTTGTACTAAAAAAATATTATGAAATTCGTTAAACTCTGGCTTTAGCTGCTGGAGGAGCTGATTCAGGTTTTATCAAATAAAATAAGTTCTTTCAACTGGCATTGATAAATGTCACAGAAACTATGATAAATTTTTTATTTTTTTTTTTTCAGATCAGCAAGCATATTCCATATGTCAAATTTATTTCGAATTAAATGCTATGAGAAATGCTATCGTCGAATGTGTGTTCGACTTGCATATACCCTGTGCATAGGGGTCTAAAATCTAGAAATATTTAGTCGAATGTATTTTTCTTTTGCTACATTCTGTTTTAGTTGTGCGTTTTGTCTATTTTTATTTTAAATATTTGTACGTTTTTTGTTGTTGTTTGTCTGTAAAAATACAGGATATGGGAATGCGTGCACCAGCACTGATTCTTTCGGCACCGATTGCGGGGAAGCCGGTTAAGACGAATAAAACGAATTTAAATTCATAAAAGTCTTGTGTCATCTTTGTTTATGCTGCACACGCACACACTGCACTCACACTTACGCACACACATATATGCAAATCTCTGTATATACATATATATATGAATATGTATTTATGCTTGTAGATACAAATATGCATTGTACACACAAATGTGTGCATGTGCAGGATAAATGTAAACGGAAAATTTGGCGTCGTTTGCCAACAACAAAGTAAGGGTTGCAAAATACGAAAACCCGCAGCAGAACAAGCAATTTACACAAACACACACACACGCACACACACGAAGGATAACAAGCACAACAAAATTGAGAAGAAAAGAACGAGAATAAAAAACGAATAAGAAAATAGTGTGTGCAATTAAATTGCTGTTCTTGTTATTATTATTGTCGATTTATTTTCCCTGTGTGCTTTTCCATTTATTTGCTTCTTTGTTTTGCCGAAGATTCGGCTCTCATTGTAGTTGTTATTGTTGTTGTTGCAGTAACGGCGGCAGTTTCTGTCGGCGTCCGTGCTTTGCAGTCGGGACAAACACACACAAATACACACACAGCACATAGATAGAATTAACCAAAGTAGTTTTAATATAATACAATTGACAGGCGGAGAAACAAAAAAAAAAAAGCTACTACTACACACGCGTGAGCCAAGCTTGACGACGACGACACATCGAATTTAGTTCAACTGAAAAGTACAACAAACAGAAAAGCATGCAGCAAATTTTCTTCATTATGCTAGTGTTTTTTTTTTCTCCTTTGCATTCTTTTTCTTATGTTTTTTTTTGCTTTAATAATCATAATAGGGATTACGTTTTGCTTGATGCGACGCCGCTGCGCTTGACGTTGGCGTTGTTGGGCAGCGACGGCGACGACGACCGGGCGCCGTTGAAACGTAGACCGCGAAAAATTTTGACGAGAATTTCCGTTACCGACTTGCTTGCTTTGCGGACGGCGAGAAAAACAGCAACAACAATTGTCGCTACTTTGGATGCTTAGCAGACCATGTTATTAACATTTAGTGCTATTGCAATGCTCAAATGGTTCTGTCGCTCGGCAGACTTACAGAATGTTAACTTCTGAACGAAGCACCCAATCTAACATTTACTCACCCAACGAAATGTAATGAACAGTGGCACAGTATCCTATCGTCTTGACGGTCCATACGCTGTGTTCGTTAAGTGAGTTGATTGTTGTCCATGCTAAAGCAACTGCCACACAAATCAAATATAAGAAAATTAAAGACTCAACTTTGTATGCATGCCAAAGGAAATCATAAATACATATGTACGTATTTTTACTTGGCAAAGATAAACCTTTGCTGTTGCCCAATAATTTTGATGTTTTTTCGCCTGCCTGCACTTTGGCAACCAGACTGAAATCCTTATAATGCCTTTACCCCCTCCCCTACGCAATATACCCAACTGGCATACGAAAAACGTGTAGCTTTGTCGCCATGCCTAAGGAAAACAAAAATATTTTTGTTTACATGTGCGTGCAATAAATGAAAATTATGGCGCGGTAATAATCTTAATCCGATCTCTCTGGGACAGCACAAAATCAAAACAATCCAGCTCTGATTCTTTCATTAAAGAAACGCAATCAATCAGCAAGAAAAAATATGAATATTTGCAAATTGAGAATAAAAAAGTTTTTTGTTTTACAAGATATTTATACTATTTGAGCTAAGAAATAAACGACTTCAAAAATATATCATATGTATATATAAATGCTTTTAAACATACACAATAATATAATAAAATGCTTTGCGATTGCATACGAAAATATATTGAAAAGATGGTCACACTTATAATCCACATTCATATATTATATTTCGCTCCAATTAAGAACGAATCTGAAAAAAACATGTCTTTACTTCAGAATGATGGTGAAGTTTGAATACTCTTACTTAGCGTTGACGCACATCGGATTGTTAGCTTTGCCATGTTTAATTTTAAGCACTCACCGCACACTTTACAATTGCAATATATTGCGTTTTTGTAACTGTGCAAATGAGAGCAACGCTTTCAGCTGGTCGCAACAAACAGCGTGAAAAAGTCATGCGACATTTTGATTACGCTCACTAGTTTCTCTCTTTACCGCTCTCTCTCTCTCACTCTCTCTGACTAATGCTCAACAGTAGGCGACTGTAGGCGATCGTCGTTGCTATGCTTACGTCTGTTGCGTCCCTCTCTCTATCTCAGCGAGTGCGTATGTGTGTGAGTTTGAGATAAGCAATGCTGAAAACAGGCACAATACGAACATAAAGTTGCTGGCATTACGTCTGTTCGCACAGTTGGCTTGGAGCTTGACTTCGACACAGACTGTGAATTGGCGAATATCGAGAGCAAAGCGTAAGGCGCGACACGTGAGTGAATTGAAATTAAAAACTGTGAAACAAAACAGATTTTCGAGAATGGCAAGCACAACGACATCGAGTAAGTGCATTAACTGTCTGCTATACACTCTCCCGTGCTGCTTTACTAACAACTTGCAACTCGACAGTTGAGGGCTATAAACTGGGCAAGGTGATCATCGAGGGCAAGACAAAACAGGTCTACAATCTGCCCGAGAATCCTGGCTTGTGTTTGCTGCTCAGCAAGGATCGCATTACCGCCGGCGATGGCGTCAAGGCCCACGATCTCGAGGGCAAAGCGGAGATCTCGAATACAACCAATGGACATGTCTTTCGGCTGCTCAACGAGGCGGGTAAGGGTACTCGTGATTTAAAAGTACAAAAAAAAGGAGCAAAAAGAAAAAAATTTGACTAGAAAAAAATTGTAGATAATAATCGTAATAGTTAATTTACAGTTATCAATCTCTGTCTCTCTCATCTTGTGTTGTGTAGGTGTTCGCACAGCATATGTGAAACAGTGCGGCCCAAAAGCTTTCATTGCCCGCAAATGCGAAATGATACCCATTGAGTGGGTAACCCGACGCCTGGCAACCGGCTCCTTTCTCAAGCGCAACTCGGGCGTGCCCACGGGCTACAGGTCAGTGGCATCTCATCCGTTAGGTTATCTACCCTACCGTGTTGGATTATTATTATTATTGTAGCTGCATTCGGCGTTTCTTATCGGCTTATCAGTGCAACCAACGTCAGTGAGTGACCCCATACCCCCATGCCTCCATTCACCCCCTCCCCCTTGCCTTACCTTGCTCGCACTTGCACATCCCCTGCTGCGGTAAACAAATTCATTTACGATGCACTGCATCGAGGTTGCAACCGCTGATAAGCCGCGCAGTGAGGCACGACAATAATAAAATTTATTTTTTTAAATATTGAGTGGCAAAGATCTAGAGATTTCGATTTCGAAAAGAAATGCTGATGCCCCTTTAATCGACTATCGATATTTTGAGCGATAACTTTATGGCTTTCTTTCGATAATTGGAATCGTTTGCTTACTGGCAGATTCTCGCCGGCCAAGCAGGAGACATTCTTCAAGGATGACGCCAACCACGATCCCCAGTGGAGCGATGAGCAAATCATTTGTGCCAAATTCCAGCTAAACGGCCTGCTTATTGGTAAGTTAAACGAACAACAATCGATTACTAAAAAACAATCGGTCCTTAATCAAATCTGGTTTCGTGTTTTTCTCCGTTGCTCAGGTCAAGATGAGTTGGACATTATGAAGCGGACAACGTTGCTGATCTTCGAGATATTGGAGCGTGCGTGGCAGACAAAGAATTGTGCGCTAATCGACATGAAGGTGGAGTTTGGTATCGATGACGATGGCAATATACTGTTGGCCGATATTATCGATTCCGATTCGTGGCGCCTCTGGCCGGCCGGTGACAAACGTTTGATGGTCGATAAGCAGGTCTATCGCGATCTCGTATCGGTCACGCCCTCCGATCTGGATACCGTAATGCGTAACTTTAAATGGGTATCCGAACAGATGGCCGAAATTGTGCCGCGCAAGGATCATTTGGTTGTCGTGCTCATGGGCAGCGCATCGGATACATCGCACAGCGAGAAGATTGCGACCAGCTGCCGCTCGTTGGGCCTCAATGTGGAGCTGCGCGTCAGTTCGGCCCACAAGGCGCCCGAGGAGACATTGCGCATTGTCCGCGAATACGAATCGGTGATGACCAATCTGATCTTTGTCGCCGTCGCCGGACGTTCCAATGGCCTTGGGCCCGTCCTTTCCGGCAGCACCAACTATCCGGTTATCAATTGTCCGCCCATCAAGTCCGACAATATGCAGGTGGATGCATGGTCCAGCCTCAATTTGCCATCGGGTCTGGGCTGTGCCACCGTCTTCTATCCGGAGGCAGCCGCATTACATGCGGCAACCATTTTGGGTCTGAGCAACTTTATGATTTGGTCCAAGTTGCGTTGCAAGCAGCTCAACAATTTTGTCACCCTCAAGAAGGCTGACAAGGAGCTGCGCGGCGTGCGCAATGCCTAAAGAAAATTGAAGCAAAACAAGAAAACATTTCCTGTTCAATTTTCGTTTATTTTTTTTTGCCATTTTTCCATTAACATTTTTTTTTGACAAATACAATTTTATACCTAATTAAAATATTAAAAAATTCCAGCGTATGTGGTTTGTGTCTTGGCTAACGGTTGGCTATTTTTTGTTGCGTGGTTTTGTGCGCTTTATAATTAGTTATTGTATATGTGGGGGGGGGGGGGGTGCGACTGGCAATGCGATGCAGCTTTTACACTAGAGCTTTAATTCGGAAAAGCTCTCTTCACATTTACAGTGGGTCAGAAAATACACCACAATATTTCGATTCACTGTGATTTTGATGCGAGTAAAATGTTTGTCCTCCGAAATGAACGTAGAAAATCGACGGTCAAATAAATTAATTAATTAATCAAATCTTCAAAGCTCTTACTTCATTGCTTACACTTTGAGTTGCACATTGTGATCTATGACCTTTGACATGACATATGACCTTTCTATATAAGTAGGGTGATATTTAAATCAATTTAAGATACATTGCTTGCACTGCGGATCTTTTAACTTACTACCTTTTAATATTCGGAAACAGGAAGTAGTTGAAGCTGTTTTCTATTTAAAAACCAGTTTAAGCTTAATTTTTTATTGACATTGTTCAAAGTATTTCTAAATATCCACATAAATATACATATACAACAGGCCTTTGAAATTTGAAGGGATATAAATATGTCAACCGAAAAATGAAGAGACCAAAGATACTTTTCAAGCCAATACTTAATATATTCCCAAAAACAAGAATTTGACTTACTCCAAGTTGAGTTGTTGAAGAAAGGTCTTGAAGAACTGGAACTTAAATCACGACAATATTGCAATAACAAAAGTGTAGTAAAAAGGTATCTTAAGCTGAGTTGATTGTATATGAATGTATCTTTTCCTTCAAATTGAAGCTCTTCCGAGAAATGCTTAATCTCTTATAATTTGTTATGCAATGCGATGTTGAAGGAGCTCGAAAGGTATACAAAATGTGAGTTTCTTGTTTCGTCTTTCCCTTTTATTACAAATAAAACAAGATACATACTTGCATTCAAGAAATTGTCCTCTTTCATCTGCTTATCTGATGCAGCAACAGCAACAGCAACAGCAACATGCCATATGCGTCATAAGCTCCGCTCTCTCCCCTTGGACAACTGTCCTTCAACTGTTTTTGCCCAATGCCATGGAAACAGAGCGCTGTGGAAAAGGTTTCGCATGCCGTAAACAGTGGACAGCTACCGGAGCCCCAAGCAGTCGCCCCCAATCCCAGATCCCAGAGTCACTCACGCCCTGCCAAACTGGTGCAGTGATAAGTAGAAAAGTCTGTGCAAGTGGAACGGGAATGGGAATGGGAACGGGAAGGGAAACGGGAAGGGAAACGGGAAGGGGAACGGGAACGGGATTGGAAGATGTGAAATCGGAGACTGTGCCAAGTGGAAGAGTTGACAGTGTGTTGCCAAGGCAAATTAGCTGCTGCTGCTGCTGTTCTTGGACGGTGGAGGGTGGTTGGACAGCATGTAAAATGTGTTGAAGTGCGAGGCACAACCTCTGGTCAATTAATCATACTTTAGCAAAGAAACACATTCATAATAATAACAATAATTTAGCATGATGTTGAGGGTGAGAAAGTGTTAGCGGGAGAACGAGCCAAAGAGAGAGAGAGAGAGAGAGAGAGAGAGCGAGAGAGCATCTCACTCATACTCACACACACACACTCATTGTGTGTATATATATATATCTATATATATGTATAAAAACATACATATTAAAAGTCAGGGTCAAAGTGCCATTGTATTTGCCCCATGGCGCAACTTTTGCGGTCGCGAGCTGCTTCCACAAGGTGCTGCAAGAAGGGCTGAGTGATAGAGTATGGGGGGGTGGGGGGGGGGGCTGCAGTTGTGGCGAAAAGGAGACGGGGTAATGTGCTGAGCCAGTCTGACGGTAACAATAAACAAAATATGAATGGCAAGGCAAATGTAACAAAAATGTAAGAAAACAAGAAATGAAAACAGCATAAACATAAACACAACAAGTCGACATTTAAATACCCTACACATGTACATAATATGTACTTATACATACAGTATGCCAAGAAAGTGTTTGAACACAGGAAAAAAATGCATATTTTCTAATTTCTTTTGCAAAAAAAAAACTTATTTTATTATTGACTTTTATTTGTTTTCTTAGTTTTCAATGGTTAAGTGGAGTTCTTAAAACTAGTTTCAAAAGATTTCAAAAAATTAACTTAAGAAATTTTGAAATGTTAAAGACGAAATTAACCATTCTTTGGACAGTCAAGAAAGTATTTGGCTGCATTTCTTTCGCTTTCTTGACAAACTGTATGTATTTTTAGCCTTATAATCACTTTTTTAAGCAGCGTCATTTTTATGAATGCATCAGAAACTCGTACTTAACGTTGTGCTAAAATAATAAAAAAATAACTATCTATCTTCTTGGATAAACAAATATATATTTATATAATTATACCAATATATATATACATGTATGTATGTATGTATATACATTAGCGATTTCCAAAACGAGCTTCAGCTTTTTTCTTTTTATGGCTCTTTGCTTTTTAGTCAAGGAAGGTTACTCGATTTACATACATTTCTAATTGTGCCGTTTAATAATTAAAGTTGAATTTTGTATTTGCATACATAAAACATAAAACATTTACGTATTGCAAACACCTATTGGAAATTCATAAAACTGCAGCGTGCACAAAGTGTATGGGAAAAATATCATTGTCGACGTCTTTGCTTTGCTTTGGTTCGCCTTTTTTTTTGTATCGCTTCACGTCGCGTCTCCGTTCTGCGACTGAGGCTGGGGCCGTGGGGGTCGCCCAACGACAACAATGCCCGGCAATTGTTTTGATGGCGACGCCAACGACAGCGTCAACGTCAGCGTCGCTCTGTCGACAGCGAAGACGACGACGACGACGATGACGCGGCTATGTTTGGGGTCGTTTGCTGTCGTTTTCGCTTGCCCGACTGTCCGCATGTCTTAAGTCTCGCTAGTCGCGTCGGCGGCGTGGCGGGCAGGGGTTTGGCAAACTGTGCTGTGCTTTTGGCGCGGATCGTTTGCCAAAGCATAAAAACAATTTTGTTACAAGCGAATGCCGCCGCCTCTTTGTCCGATCTCTGCACACACGTTTTCATTAGCATTGTTTGTGTATGTGTATGTATGTGTGTGTTTGCCCTCTCTTTCTCTCTCACACACACTCAGACAATGTGCGTGTGTGTGTGTGCGCCTTCTGCCTCTTCAGCTGGCGCAATTTCAGTCCCGGGCTTCAACTTGTTGCTAAAAATATGCAAGGCAGTAAGAGGAAACCGGTTTTTTTTTTAGCGATCATCAACTGGCTGGGCCTGTTGCTGGGTGCCAGTGGCCGCCGCTGGCGTTGGCAGAGGCAAGCGGCAAACGGTGCAGAATAGGAGGGGAGGTTAGTGTCGACTGGGTAACTTGATTGAGTTGGCTTAAGCGGCAGCGAGCGAGGCATGCACAAATAAAGCCAGCACAACAACAACATGCAAAAAGCCAACACGTAATACAACCCGCGTTGTGGTGGGGCCCAATACAGTGTTGCAAATTACGCTTTTTTCTTGCTTCTTGTCACATCAGCCTTTTTTAATACAACAGTTCGGGCGTTTTTGCTGTTTTTTTTTCTTCTCGATTTTATGGAAACTAATTATGCAAAAGTTATGCGCCCAAATATGTTAAATATGTATAATTCCCTAATTCGGGAATTTACATCATTAATCAGTTAAATATTTGTGTATGTACATCTTTATAAATCTCTTTTAAGCGAAAATAGACACAAAAACTTTGAGCTTTTTTTTTTAGATCGTGGATTTCCCCACAGAATTAGCTTTTTTTTGCTTTTGGCTTGGCATCACTAGAGCACAAACACGATCAGTGGGGCTGGGGAAAAAGCAATTCACTTCAGGTTGACAAAGAGAGAGGGAGAGGGAGAGGCAGACTAGCAAACAGGCATAGGCATGAGTATGAGTTGGATGACAGCGTCGATTACGCTCGCATAACCGGCAGCCTTGTTGTTGTTGTTTTATTATTATTATTATTATTATTGTTGTTGTTCTCATTCTCCTTGTTGCCGCTCTGTTCTTGTTGCAACCGCAAGTTGCGCTACTTTTGTGCTTGTTCGGCTTCGCGCGCTCGTGTTATCTCACTCGCACATGCACGTTTTAAGTCAATGCTTGCCATTTCACAATGTCACCCACCAGTCGCAGCCATAAATTCAGGTTAGGTTTTGTTTTCTTCTTTCCTTCTTCGTGCATGCCCACACACACATATACTGATGTATGTGTATATGCACCATACATACATTTATATTCATACATACATACATACATACATATATATATTTATATATATGTGTATATATATATATATATATATATATATATATATGTATGTATGTATGTATGTATATATGACAACTGACTTAACTGTGAATTTCTACGACTGTTGGCGACGATCGGTCGCATGCTAATGGACGACGATAGCCAGTGGAATCGCACTCGTGCTTGTTTTACGAAGCTCGGGGTGGGGCTATGGGGCGGGGAAGGTGGGGGTCCGTCGGTTGGTTGGCTTTCTTTGAGCGCGAACGTTTTGTGATAAGCGCGATCTGTCGATAATAAAAAACTTCAATAAAAACACACATTAACCAAACAACAATTAGCAATAGCCCGCAAATGAAAAGCCAACACAAAAAGTTAAATAAAAATAAATACAATAAAAGAGACAAAATATACAGCGGTTAAGTTGTCGGTAGGGTTGAGGGGGAGACTACAGCTGCTCAAATACATACAATGTATATATATATATATATGTGTGTGTTGTAGTCATACGTAATGTGGCTCTCGGAACCGATATCGATATCGGTCAATGTCGAGCAATTACCGAGGCTATGGTAAAGGTCCAATCCATAGGTCTACAGCTTGATTACAATTGTACTGGCTCTTGAAAGGTTTCCCACAGACAATCTACAA